ATGTTGTCTGGAACACAGCATGTCATGGAATTTGGACAGTTGTGGTCGGATGGTGGCTGTTCCGTAAGGCCCTGAGTGTCAGGTCAGAGACTTCCCCTTGAGGACAGTTGCTGAGCCTGCACTGTGGCATCTTTGGGAACTTTGAATTCGCAAATGAACTGGAGCTGGATTTTAGTGTGTGGCCAGGAGGCTTCTGATCTGGGTGAAACATACTCTCTTGAAAAAGACTGAGGTCAATGAGCCTTTTCAAGAGGTTTGGAGGCCAGCTCTGAGGTGGGTGATGCTTCCCACATAAACGGGAATCAAAAACCTGCACCCAGGCCCCTCAGCCCGCTTCCCACCCTGCAGTGCCTGAGGGGTGACCGGCTCCTCCCAGCTTGCCCAGAACTGTATCTGGGTTAGCACCCAAGTTCTGTGGGAAAGCCCTGCTTCTGAGGCCAGGTCTGGCCGGCTCCAGGCCCTGCAGCTAGGTCACCCCCCAGGGCCACACAGAGGAAGAGGGCAGGAGGCAGAAACATCGTCCCCCAGAAGCATCTGGTCTAATGGGACATGACAGAAATGTCCAAATCCGAGTGACAGGCTCTCACCCACACAGCTCACTGGATAGATGTGAAGGTCACCACATGCAAGCCTCATACTGAATCATGTCTGACTCCCACTGCCTCTTCCAGCCTGGCTTGGCTCAGGGCTCTGCGGACAGGAGAGGACTCCAGGCCTCTCCCCTCAGTCACGCTGTCTCCCCAGGCCAGACAGGCCCTGCCCTCCCTGGCTCAGTACTTCATGCTCCCCAGTGCTCACAGCATGTCCTGAAGACTGACTTTCGGAGTACAGCCTGTGTGGGTTTTGTCCTTACAGCTTCCCACCTTTTACCTTCAGTTCCTTAGTATTTTCCTTTAAGTGGCTCCCTTTTTTTTTTTTTTAAGATTTATTTATTTATGCATACAAGAAATGGGGTACAGGCCAGAGGTGCAGGGGTGAGAGCCTTCACCAGAGACAGAATGGGGAGCAGAACAGGCAGATCTAAAGCACACTGCTGAGGGGAGCAGCGGGTGGGTCAGGAGAGGTCTGCTGCGCCCTGTGGGTCAGCGCCCTGGCCGGGAATGGAACTCTGGCTGCAGTGGCTGCTGGTAGCTTCCCAGTACTGAGGCTTAGCGCCACCAGGGGTCCTAAGTAAACATGGCTTAGAAGGGAAATTTATTTTGGCCCGTGGGCAGAAAGCCACTTGCTCTGAGTGAAAGATAATCACAAAAACAGTGTTGCAGTATTCTTGGTGGTTACAGGTGAAGCTGGCAGGCACTGGGCATTAAAATGGAGACTTTCCCCATGAGGGAGCAGAAACTTGAAAGAAAACTGAAAAGGGATCACTTCCTCATGAAGTGATTTAATGTTGCTTAGTGTCTTGGTCAGCAAGCATCATTTCCCAGTTGTCCCAAAGCTGCCCCCTTGGGGCACACCTACCTGCAGGACCTAGGCCCACTCCAGCCCACCTTCCCATCCCTGCCAGTCGCTGTCCCCAGCTCCGATGCCTCTGCGCCCCTCTGCCGCCCGAGCCTCCCCTGGGGGGCGCAGTCCCGCCTCACACTCTTGTCTTTTGTTCCCTTTGAGTGCTGCCCCGCCCCTCACCTCTCCCTTGTTCCCACGGTGGTGCACTGAGATACAGTAACACCCTTAGTGACTCGCTGCGGGCTAGACCGCCACGTCAGGGTGGTCAGAGAGTCCGCGGGAGACGGGCTCGGAGAGGTTGGGCTGCTTCTCCAAGTGGCAGGCTAACACGCGGCTGGGCAGGTGGCGGCTGAGACCAGGGGCCCCCAGGCACTGCGCTTGACTCACAGCCTCACAGACCAAAATCACCCACTTGTCCTGCTCGTGTTACCCGCTCGCCTGCCGGCATGCTGCGCTCCATCTGCCCAGGCTCCGCTAAGCCCGCCTGTGGCAAGGGCTCCCCAGTCCTTGGAATGTGTGGAAATGGCGAGCACTGGTATGCCCACCGCTGGCACGTGGTACCTTGAGCCAGCCGGGAATCAGGGAGCCGCAGCTGCCTTCTCCACAGGTGGTGACCGCAGAGGGTGCCCGCTCTACACCCTCAGCAGCTTATGGCCAACTCCGGGGCTTCCTCCCCAACTTTGAGGCTTTAGTGGGGGGGGCCACCCCTAGCATCCCCTGTGTTTGGGGAGCGGTGTCGGAGAGTCCCAGGCATGCAGTGAGGGGGAGCTGCCCCTCATTACCGCCACGCCAGGGGTTGGTTTCCCATCTGGAAGGTGGGGGGAGGCACCACCACCACCCATGAGGCGCCTTTGACTTTCTGGGAAGAGCCTGAAGCGGAAGGAGTGGAGGGTAGGTCTTAGACCCCCTTAGGGTAGGGCAGCATCTCTTATTATCACTCCTCCCATCGTTTCTTCAGCAGATATTCTCTGAGCTGGGGGAACAGAGCAAACAAGTCTGACTCGCCCGTGTGTGCTTGCCTCTTATTGTCCCCCTCTGGCCACCCCCAGGCCTCGTCTAGTGTGCGTTCCAAGACACAGGGACGCTGGGAGCACCAGGGTTCTCAGCCCCCCCCCCTGAGATTGGGGGAAGTCAGTTTGCTCACCTGCAGAGGGCAGCGTGGGCCCTGGCCCAGCCCAGAGCATTCGTTGTTCCTGGCTCAGGTGAGACAGGAATAGCCCTGCTCTTGAACATTGTTCTTCTCGATGGCAAAGTAAGCAACTTGAGCCTCGTCATCAGGTGTGGCCAAGGGACTTGCTCTGGCACTGAAGCTGCTCACCTGGCGAGATTGGAGACTGAGCCCAGGGCGCTGATTGGTGGGCGCTGGGGCAGCTGCTTGTCTGCCACCCCCACCCCCCCACCTCCATCGGGTTCAGTCTGTGCAGGGGCAGTCCCACAGAGCCTCCTTTGAGCAGCTGACTTAGGGCCCTGCAGTCAGGGGCTTTGGCTCAGCACCCTGGCTCCAGGCTGCACCTTCTCTCCTCCACCTCCTTTCTTGGTGCCTATGAAGGAATTGGGTGTGCAGCGCCTCACTCCCCCTCCCCAGGTTTCTGGAAAGGAGAAAGCCTGGCTGCAGACAAGAGCTGGCTGATGGGAGTGCCCTCCCTGCCTGGGCCACGAGACTTGGCAATCGGTGGGAGGCTAGTACCTTTTCTCTTCCTCCCAAAAAGGGCCTGTTCCTCACGCACAGGTGGGTTTGTTGTGAAGATTTCTTTGTAAATAAGTTGTTTGGATTGTGGAATTTCATAGAAACAGTAATGATGGCTATTTACTAGCTCTAGCCAGATGCTACATGATTTGCTAAAACTACTTGATGAAGTCTCATATCCCCTCCCCTGCTCCCAGCCCAACACCAGAAGTGCCGTGGTTATGTCCTGCTTTACTTTTTAGCAGACGCCTTGAGAGCAGGAGTGGGGACCCGCCGGGGCCTGTGGGGCAGGATAGGGTTTGGAGTAGCCGCCACAGCTTGGAAAGGGCCTGAGAGTTGTTACAGGGGAGGCTGTTAGCACTGAGGCTCCCAGGACTGCTCAGGGCTCCTCAGCATTCCCCCCTCCTCCCCCACTTCAGCCTGCACCAGGAACCTGTGAGGTTGGGACTCTCTTATCGCCCTTACCAGAGGTGTAACAGGCTCAGAGAGATGGAAGGACTTCTGTAAGTACAAGCAGGGAGCAAAACTAGGCCTTGAGCCAGAGTTCTTAGGCTCTGGAGCCTGTGCCTTGCCGCCCCTCATGGATCAGCTACCAGCGGGTGCCAGCCTTGATGTGAGCTGGCTTTTACAGATGCAGCTGGGGACTGCGCGCAGGGCGCCACTCAGACGGAAGGGCTGGGTTTGAACTCCGGGCCAGGAAATGTGAGTCCAGAGCACATTTTCTGTCCTGCCTGCTGCCTTGTAGTCCAGAGACCTGGGTTATGGTCTGGGTGGAGAGGCTGTGTACACTGTCCCTCAGGACACACAGACAGACACACCTGGTGGGCACCGTCAGAGTAGCTGTTGGGGGCCAAATGGGGCTCAGTGAGCCCTGGTGAGAAGAGACTAGAGGAGTCGGGATATGGTGGGAGGAGGGCAGGAGGCCCGAAGCCCCAGGGTCTCCTGGGGAGGGTAGGAGAAAAGTAGGGATGCAGATTGGGCCTAGTGCGTGGGGGTGGGGGGCCAGAGAGCAGAATAAGAGTTTGTCCCAGAGCTTGCTTTTTTAATATTTTATTTTTCCATCATTTTGTGCATTTTCCCATCTCAGTTGTAATCCCCTTGGGTTTCCCAACACCAAATCACCCTGTGCCATCACCATAGTCCAGTGCACTTCCCTCCCCCCACTGTTTTTGATCCCATTCCCCACCCCACCCCCACAGAATGTCTCTGGTATATGGCTGTTCATCATTATTATTATTTTCTCGCCTGCTCCGTTATACTCCTGCCCCCATAGCTTGCTTTTTTAAGGGAGTCCAGTGAGTTTTGAGCTGGGATAGGACTGGAGAGGTGTTGTTTAGAGAATGTGGCAGTTTGTGCAACAGGAGTTGAAAGGCTGGATGACACTGGAAGCAGAGTCACTGGGGAGCCTGATCTGTGGTACATTCTGGCAGGCTAGGGTATTAGGAGTGGAGGCCCGAAGGGTTATAGAGGAAGAAGAAGACCTGCCTGGCAGGCGGAGGTGCGGAGGGGCGGACAGGTAGAGGGAGTGAGGGAGTGATTTGCAAACGTTCCACACTGTGTTCTGCTGTCTGCCACCCACCAACTGTGCCCTTGGGCAAATCCCCTCACCTCTCCCAGTCTGTTCTCTTATTTATAAAGTGAAGGGATTAGAACAGAGGCTGTCAGCTAAGGGACATTCACCAGGCATCTGGCATGTGCCAGGAACTGTGTTACGTCTTTTGAGGTTCCTCCCAGCGCTTGACTTGTGCAGAAATAAGGGAGGGGTGAAGAGCACTCGTGGCACCTCATTATTGACCAGAAGACCGCAGGCCCAAGCTTCAGAAACTTGGGTTCACATCCCGGTTTGTCACCGCCAGCTGTCACCTCACCTCTGTGCAGTCTCCTTGGCTGTTACCCAGAGCGCTATTAATAGCCTTTGCTATTGGGATTAAGGGAGGGGTGTGTGCAGGGCGCTCGCATCCAGCAGGCACAGGGAGGTGTTGGCGTCCTCTTTCCCCTTCTTTCTGTGAGCTCATAACAGCGGGGCCACTTCTTGCAAGTTCACGTTGTGCCATTTCTCTGTATTTACTCAGTTTTCCTAGTGACCCAGTCAGGTGGCTGTTGTCCATTTCGGTGACTGGGGAAGCAGGCACGGAGGGGGCGGTTTATCATGTGCATCTAGCAGGTGTCTCCCAGGAGAAGCCGGGCTGGGCGGCAGAGGAATAGCAGGAGTCGCAGGCCGCCCCTCCTGCCAGTCCCCAGTCGAGTGAGCAGGAGGCTGGGAAGCTCATGCGGCTCCCTGGCTCCCCGCGTATTACCGGCCAGTGGCAAAACAGGGTTTCAGGCGTGCTCGCCCTCACCCCCCATGCTGTGGTTCACGGGGGTGTCCCGGTGTCCGGTTCCATCTTGGACGCACCGCGGTTGAGTGGTGGTGGAGCAGCCCCGCAGAAATCTTCTGGTAGCTGGAAATGTGCAGCCACGTCTGCCTGCCACCGCCTGGGCGCCAGGTGCCCGGAATAGCGCCTGGCATGTGACAGGCGCCGTGTGAATAATCGCTGGAGGCAAGTGGCCAGACTGGAGGCATCATCTAGAGAGGGGCCAGTGCAGCAGCGGAGTGGGCCGCTGGCGACGGCCGCAGTTCTGTCTGGGCAGGAGTGGCTCTCTGGGGACTGAGGTCCCCGCAGGCCTGGGTACCGGGGGCGCAGTGGGTACAGCTGCGGCTTTGCCTCTGGCAGGCCTAGGTTCCTCGTTCAGCAGAGTACCAGCTACGTGACTTCACAGAAGTTATCAGGGCCTTTCCTTTTTTTTTTTTTTTTTAAAGATTTATTTATTTATGGATACAGAACTGGGGCACAGGCCAAAAGGGCAGGGGGTGAGGGGACTCCCCAGAAACATAGTAGGGAGCAGAACAGGCAGATCAGTGAAGTTCACTGCTGCGGGGAGCAGTGGATGAGACAGGGGAGGTCTGCTGCGCCATGTGGTCACCTCCTGCACCGGGGGTCGAACTCACACTAAGTGGCTGTGGCCAGCTTGTCGTTCTGTGCTGTAACCGCTCTGCCACCTTTCTTTCTCCCGTGCTTTTGCTGAAGTATAACAGACTTAACCAGCGTGCACAAATCACAGTGTTCTGCTCGTTGAGTGCACACAAACGAAACAGGCATGTGTGATGAGCGCCAGGCTGTGAGCCGTGTCGCAGCAGCACCCCGTGCTCCCCTTCCTGTCGCCGTCTCCCTTCAAGGCCTCCATGGCCCCCAGCCAGCACCGTAGACGGCTTTTACCTGGTCGAACATTTTGTGTCCTGTGGTTCTCCCCTGGACACAGCACTGGGAACCACGGCGCTGAGAGCCACGGCGCTGAGAGCCACGGCGCTGAGAGCCACGGCGCTGAGAGCCACGCAAGAGCTAGTGGCCCTGTGGCCCCTTCATTCACATTGCTGTCTTGTTGTGTGGGTTATGATGTTTTAGAAGCCAGGCCGCTGTGGGCGGGCCCCTGGGTCGCCCCGGTTTGGCTGCTGAGGGGACTGCCACTCGGGCCTGCCCGTCTCGCCGGGCACAGGCGTGTCCCAGGCACGTGCCTGGAAAGGGCTGCAGCGAGGTGCGTGTGCCGTGAGCTTCGGGAGTAAGCGCGCAGCAGCTCTCGGGAGTCGTCAGAGGAATTTTCTGGTTGCTGTACATTTTTGCCCACATTTGATATTTTTACTTTTTTTGTTTTAGCAGTCCGGTGTGCTGTGTAGTGAGTAGCATACTGCAGTGCAGTTTACATTCTCTGCTGACTGAGGAGTGTCAGTACCTCTGCACGTGTTTATCGCCTCTTTGGGCGGCCTCTCTTGGGAAAAGGGTGTTGAAATCTTCTGTCCACATTTGACTTTAGTCTCCTTACTTTCTTATAGATTTAGGGGCATTCTTTTGGTACTCTGCAAATTCCTGACAGGCAAATATTTTATAAATGTCTTCTAATCAGAAGGTCATCTTTGTGTCCTTTTAATGATATTGAGATGAACAAACATTCTTAATTTTCATTGAATGCAGATTATCCATTTGACCCCATGTATATTACTTCACAAATTAAGAGAACTGTCCATTCCAGAGTCATCAAGTCATTCTCATATGTTTTATTTAGGATTTATTTATTTATGCATATTGGGGTACAGGCCAGACATGTGGAGGTGAGAGGATTTACCAGAGACAAAGTAGGGTACAGAACAGGTGGATTGACTGGCAGACACTGCTGAGCAGAGCAACGGGCGAGACAGGAGAGGTCCGCTGTGCCATGTGGGTCAGCTCCCTGGCTGGGGATCAAACTCATGCTGCATGGCTAGAGATAGCTTGATGGTGCTGAGACTTTAACCCCTGCGCCACCAGGAAGGCCAGCATCTTGCCTCCATTATCATACCCAGGGACACTTTCCCAAGTCTTCTCATTTCAGCCAGATGGCAGTGGCTTCCCCCTCACTGGGGTTCCTGGCTTGGGCTGCGTAGACACCCCCATCTTTCTCTTCTGCTCTCAGACAACACGGGCAGTTCCACATACCGGCCGCCCCCTCGGACCCGGGAGGTGATGATCAACGGGCAGATGGTAAAGCTGAAGTACTGCTTCACCTGCAAGATGTTTCGGCCCCCTCGGACCTCACACTGCAGTGTCTGCGACAACTGTGTGGGTGAGTGGAGGTAGGGAGTGTGGGGTCCTGAGAGAGCCGGGGTCCTGGAGGCAGGAGCAGTGTTCTGAGCAGAGGCCACGGGGAGGGGCTGTGGCGTGACCATTGGTGTCTGTTCAGCTTAGAGTTGGTAGCTTCCTCCCCCCAGCTCTGAAGTGGGAGGCAGATACACAGGGCACTTGGGAAGCCCCCAGCCTAGACCCCAGGTTCCAAGGAGTCAGAACCCGGAGCAGTAACATTCCCCTTCAGTTTGGGCCAGTTTGCCTGTTTATCACCCAGGGACCCAGGAACAGCAGTGCTGGAAGATTGATCTGATTTCCAGGGTTTGGGAGGACCAGAAGCTGGTGACAGGAGTGGGAGCTGGCGAGGTGGGGAGGGTGCAGTCAAGATCGGCAGCTAAGCGCTGAGCCAGAGCTGCAGCGGTTGCTGGGGAACCGGAGGCTGTTTTGCCCCCTCTCCCTGCTCTTCAGAGGCCAGGCAGCTCCGATGGGGACCGAGGGTGTGCCGTGGGAGTGTGTTGAAAGGGAAACGCTCAGCCGGGACCCAGGTGAACTGAGTCTCAGTGACTGTGCACAGTCCCCAGGGCAGTGAGCTCATCGTGCTCGCTCAGCACTCCTGAGCAGAAGCAGGAGCAGGAACACCCCGTGACGCCAGCGAGGGGGTGACTCAGTGGGCGGCGTTCCTCCTGAGAGTCGGCCCCACCCACCCATGGCCTAGGCTCCTAGCTAGCAGCTGGCAGCTCCCGCCGGGTACTCTCCTCCCAGCGCCGCGAGGTTGGTTCCACCCCGAGGGAGCGTGCTCATGTGAGCTCAGCCCTCTGACTGGGCCTCCATGACAGCTGATGAGTTACATAGCGGCTTGGCCCCTCCCTGCCCCTCTGGTTCTGCGGCTGCGACAGGGCTCGCTGGTCCTTAGCCTGCGGCTGGGTCGCAGGCCAGGCAGCTGGTGCTCCTTGTGGATTTTCTGGCTACCCGCTGGACGCCAGGGTTCAATGCAGTGTGTGGCCAGCAGAGGCCCCTCATGGAGCTTGCTTACCCCTGAGCAGGAGTCATTAACTAGTCCAGTAGTTATAAACACAGCAAAGTGCCACGAAAGATAAGTGCCCAGAGGATAGGGCTGGATAATAGGGGTCCCCGCCTCGCTGGGGCTGGAGGAGACTTCAGGAGTGGCTTTGAGGAAGAGGCAGGGGGGCGTGCAAGGCAAGGGTAGCCTGGGCATGAGATGGGGCAAGGAGCGTCCGAGAGCGGAGGGTGTGGGGGCGGAAAGCACCAGCTGTGCGTGAGGCCTGCGGACGCCTGTGCTGATGGCAGACAGGCCCACTGACTGTGCCCTCGCCCTTTATCAGAGCGCTTTGACCACCACTGTCCCTGGGTGGGCAACTGTGTGGGGAGACGGAACTACCGCTTCTTCTACGCGTTCATTCTCTCCCTCTCCTTCCTGACGGCCTTCATCTTCGCCTGCGTGGTCACCCACCTGACACTGCGTGAGTGGATGCGGGCGGGGCGGGGCTGGGAGGAGGCCGTCCCTGAGCTGCGCCCTCTGATGTGTCTTCCTCCCCAGGCTCTCAGGGAAGCAACTTCCTCTCCACTCTGAAGGAGACACCAGCGAGATATCCTTTGTCAGCGAGTGGTCACCCTAGGGGAAACCGAGGCCCATTCCCCAGGGTGGGTCCCCACACCTCACCTTGTGAAGCTGGGGGATGGTATAGTAATGAATCCCACATACCAGCTGCTTCTGTCCACGCTCAGGTGAGAGCTGATCTCGGTGGACTCTAGGCTATGGGCTTCCCTTTCCTCCATGTTCCCTGACCACGTCTGTCCTTGGCTCTTGGTGCTTAGAATCCTACCATCCATCCCCCAGGGCTCATTCTATTCTTTTATATATATATATATATATATTTGTTGTAAACTGGGGTGTAGGCCAGAGGTGCAGGAGGTGAGAGGATGAATCAGAGTGGGGAGCAGAGCAGGCAGATGCACTGAAACGCACAGCTGAGGGGAGCAGCAGGCAAGATAGGAGAGGTCTGCTGTGCCATGTGGGTCAGCTCCCTGCCCGGGGATCGAGCTCAGGTCGTGGCGGTGATAGCTATAGTGCTGGGCCACCAGAGAGCCCCTCATTCTATTCTTGATGGTGGCAGGTACTCAGCTCTGGCATGCACTAAAAACCTACTTGATGCTATACTTTAAAAGAATGATTTATTGTCTATGAACTACATCTCATTTAAAAATTCCAAAATTATGGCCCTCCCTCGTGGCGCAGCGGGTTAAAGCACTGCACTGAGAAGCTAAAGCCACTTCCGCATGAGTTCGATCCCCGCCTGCCCTGCAGGAGATCCACATGGCGTGGCAGACCTCTCCTGACCCGCCCGCTGCTCCCCTCAGCAGTGTACTTCGTCGATCTGCCTGTTCTGCTCCCCACTCTGTCCCTGGTGAATCCTCTTACCCTCCACATCTCTGGCCTGTACCCCAGTTCTGTATGAATGAATAAATAAATAAATAATTCCAAAATTATAAAGGACAGAGGTTCATCGTGGTAGCTCTATCCTGCACCCATCTTCCCAGGAACTTTGAGCCCTCCTTGGGGCACAGGGAGCGATCCTGTCTGAAGTGGTGATGGGGTCATGGGCAGGTTATGAACTTAGCTCCCGTGTGGGTCCTTGACTCTGCTCACCGTGCTGGAGTTGGTGATCTGCTTCTTCTCCATCTGGTCCATCTTGGGCCTCTCAGGGTTTCACACTTACCTCGTCGCCTCCAACCTGACAACCAACGAAGATGTAAGTAAGGCTGGAGCAGCTCTTAGTTCCCCGGCTGGGTCCTGGGTGCTGGTTCTGCACGATGACGGCAGAGGCCAAGCTGAAGTGGTGTAATGGCCAGGAAGGCCTGGAAGACTCTGGCTCGGACAGGGTCGGTCACTGGAACCTCACTGCCTGCAGCAGCCGCTTCCCAGGGCGCAGAAGGGCAGGCCACTGCCGCGCGCAGCGCTGTCGGCGTCCTGTTTTTCTAACACGGATTGAAATTCAGAGAAGTGTTGATTTGTCAAGAGTCGGGTTCACAGTCAGGTGTGAGCCCCTGCCCTTGGGCCACCCTCCCCGCCAGGTGGCCAGCCAGAGATGGGTGGATGTACCGGTTTCCCCTGGAGACGTCTGGCTCAGCCATGTCCCATCCTGGACTCTGCTGGTGACCATGTCCAGCAGCCCTCACGTCCTCACTGAGTGGCCTGGGTTAAGACATGTGCCCTGCAGGAGAGCAGTCAGAAGTGGCTTCAGAATTTGTTGCGTTTCCCCACCTGTGTGCTCTCCTTGTAGAAAAGCACATCGCAGCCCAGTGCCTGACTCAGACCTCCTTCCTGCTTGCAGATCAAAGGCTCATGGTCCAGCAAGAGGGGTGGTGAGACCTCTGTCAATCCCTACAGCCATAAAAGTGTTATCACCAACTGCTGTGCCGTGCTCTGTGGCCCCCTACCTCCCAGGTAAGCCGCTGGGTACAGAGGAGCGGGCAGAGGGCCTGCCCTGGCCACGCCTCTCAAAGGTTCTGGACATCAGCAGACCTACCCCCACACCACCAGTGCCCACTCTCTGTCCCCCACCCCCTGCTGAATGTATTTAGGACATTTGTCATGGAAAGGGATTGTGTGATGAGTTAAAGATCTTATTTTTAAGACTTATTTATTTATTAAAGATTTATTATTTATATATACAAGAACTGGGAAATAGGCCAGAGGTGCGAGGGGTGGATTCACCAGAGACAGAGTGGGAGTAGAACAGGCAGATCTCCTGAAGTTACTACTGAAGGGAGCAGCAGGTGGGTCAGGAGAGGTCTGCTCTACCATGTAGGTCAGCTCCCTGGCCGGGGATTGAACTCATGCCACGGTGGCTGTGGATTGCTTCATAGTGCTGGGCTTTAACCCATTGTGCCACCAGGGAGGGCCCAAGACTTACTTATTTATGCATACAAGAACTTGGGTGTAGGCCAGAATTGTGGGGTGGGGGTGTGTGAGAGGATTAACTAGAGACAGAGTGGGGAGCAGAACAGGCGGATCCACTGAAATACACTGCTGAGGGGAGCAGTGGGCAGGGCAGGAGTGGTCTGCTGTGGGTCAACTCCCCGGCCAGCCAGGGATGAAACTTGTGCTAGAGTGGCTGCTGATCATTGATAGAGCTGTATCTTTAACCCTTGCACCACCAAGGAGGCCCTGAGTTGTAGATTTAATTACATGCTCATTGTAGAAAAAAGTTCAAAATGTAAAAAGGAATTACTAGATATTCCGCTACCCTCTCTGTCCCAACACCAGGAGGCGCCAGAGTGCTAGAACTGGAGTTAAATTGCAGTGGACACTGCTGAAACAAGACTTCCGAGAGGCTGCCCAACATGCCTGTCATTCATTCTGCCCCTGGGGTCAGGACAGTGGGGGCCGTCACTATCTCAGGGCCCCTTTCATCCTTGCTGTCCCTGTTGCCTGCAATCAGAAAAAGAAAATGGTGGCCCAGTTTGAGTTAACAGTGAATAAATGCCATGGCCAAAAGTCCATTTTCAGAGAGGGCGTTGAGGACCTTGAGCTCCCAAATGGGGAACAGCTCCCCTTTCCTGACCTCCCTAAGGCTGGGTCTTTCTTGGCCAGCTGGCCCCAACCTGGGACTCTGGTGTTGGGCAGGGCCCTCACGTCCTCCCCTTTGTTTTGGAAGCCTGATTGACCGGAGGGGATTTGTGCAGTCCGACACCGTGTCGCCCTTGCCCATCAGAAGTGACGAGCCCACCTTCGGAGCCAAGCCCGACACCGGCATGGTAGGAGGCCACCCCTGACCCGGGCTCAGTCCTTGCCACCTGCTGGCCTGTGCGCCCTCTGCACTCCCCTGCCGGGATCCTCCCCGCTCCACCTGAGGGATGCAGAGCTGCCAAAGACTCCAGCCTTTTCATATTTATTTCCCACCCTGCGTGACTTCTCCCACACCGTTCCATGGCTGTACCCCCTGCCCCCCAAACCCAGGTTCCCAAAGCCGTGGGCCCCACATCCTCTCCACTGATCAGTGGCCAGAGTCATAGGAAAGAGGCCAAAGCCTTGAGCCCACCCAGGGGAGCCACCTGGCGTCTGCTGTGTGGCCAGAGCCCTGTGTGAGGGCGGGGGCGGGCCGAGGGTGGCGTCTCCAGTTCGGGGAGCTGCCGGCCCTGCTGAGCTCTGGCCAGCAGGCTGGGCGGGCGCCTCTGCGTGCCGCTTCCGTGTGTGGTCTCCATCCTTTTTGTGATGATCATCATCTGTTCTCCTGTTTTTTAACTTTTGTCGTTTGTTTTCGTCTGGAGTTGGCCAGTAGGTAGAGCTGGGGGTCCAGGTAGAAAGGGCAGAGGTGGGGGCGGGGTGGGGGGAGCAGCCTGTGTCAGAGGAAGCCGGACCAGCCAGCCGGGACCCCCAGACTCAGCCTCTGCCTGATTCCTGGGCGTCACTCCAGCTGGTGAGGCCTGGCACTCCCTCTGCCCATGGAAGTTTCTCTGTGGGATCCCAGCCTGACCCCCAAGTCAGGTCTGGGGATGGGCGAGGTTTGCTCATGCTGGCAATACTTGAAACGGGTTTATTAATGCTGGGTATTTTGCACAATTTTATAGACCTCTTTTTTACATAGCATTTTTTTAAATGGAAGAAGAAAAAAAAGGCAGCCACGTTGCTATTTGTAGTGCCAGGGTGAGTGCTTCCAGAAGGCAAGTTGGTTTTAATAAGTTAATTATTAGAGACCTTCTGGCTGTGAGTGCGTGTGTCCGTGTGCCCATGTGCGAATGTGACTGGCTCCCACTTCCCCACATCCCCTGGGCTGTCCCCTCCCTGCCGCCCTCTTGGGTGTGAGCTGGCAGCAACAGGAGTAGCCTCACGCAGGGGCACGTGCATTGGTCTGAAATCCCGAGCTCCTGCTGCTGCTGCTGCGGCCGCCCCACCCTCTCCTCCGCCTCGGACTTCAGACAGCCTGTGGCTGGGGACTCACCACCTCCTGCCACCCAGCCCCCGGGTTAGGCTTCCACCTGAGACCTGCCCAGACAGGCCGAGGCTGGGCGGGGTGGGTGGGGTGATGGCTGGTGGGGAGTCGCTGCCCCACTCCCCCGAGCGCTGAGCACGGGACCTGGTGCTGGGGGCTGCGGCTGGCAGCCCGTCGGGAGGAAGGAAGAAGGGGACTGGGGGGCCAGGAGTGAAGACTGGCCTAAACCTGGGCCAGAAATCCAGAGGATGGCCCTCGCTTGTGGGAGTCACAGTGCCTCATCGAAGCGATAGAAGATCTCTTCCGTCCTCCCTGGCTCTCAAGGGAGGCGACATAGGCAGCCTGCATGTTGGCCTTCCTGTTGCCGAGGCTAGCGGGTCACCAGGGGCTGGAAGTGGCAGCCAAGAGGGTCCCTTCTGGGAGAAGCAGCTTCACCCCAGCCTCGCGGCCGGGGGCCCGGGACCGTGATGCAGTGGCCCTGGGAGGGGACTGGCGAGAGGAGGGGACCCCACCTACCTTTTATTTAAGCCAGTATTCTTTGTTTCTGCTTGTAATAAAACTTTTGTTTTTAAGAATCGATTTGCTTTGTTTTTTCTTTGCTCTCCCTTTGCTGAGGCCCCTCTAGCAGCCTGTCCTCTCAGCCCCGCTGGCCTTTCCAAGAAGGGCAGAGAGGACGCGGGCGGCCCGGCCCTGTGGCGCTTCTCGCCCGCTGGCAGCCTACTGCGGCGGCAGAGCGGAGGGGACTGCGGCTGGCCCCGACCTGTGAGAGGCCACCCTGTCTGCCCGTCCTTCTCTTTACCTGCCCCTGCCTCAGGGGCTTGGAGACCCCACTTCTTTGCAGCTGCCTTTCCCCTCTGCCCCCAGTGACTGTTCAGTTGAGGAAGTGTTGATGAGACAGTAGATTCCAGCTTGACAGCCGGGGCCTCCATGGCCCCCTCCCGCCTGGGCGCCAGGCCCGGCCACGCAGCTCATAACACGGCCTGCCTCTCTGGTATCTCCCCCAGGAGGACACCTGTCAGGATTTTGCCATCTCCTGCACAGCCTGAGGGGAGCTAACAGGCCTCTTGACAGAGGGTTAGCTGGTAAGACTGTGTCTCCCCTGTCGGCCAGCATGGCCGCGCCCCTCACGCACCATCTCGTCCTCACCGCATGCCTCCCCCACCCGCGGAGCCATTCATCTGTCTGGTGTGTGGTGTGGTGTGTGGCCGGCCATGGTAGGGCCCTCTGGGGTCCCCCTGAGCAGAAGGATGGAGTGTGGGCAGGCTCAGGACCCGGCCACTCCGGGCTGAGAAAGTAGCTTCTCGCAGAGCAGCTCTCCAGCCGGAGCAGGTGAAGGGTGAGGATGGTCTACCTGCTCCCAGGTGCTTGGGCCTGTCTGGTGTCCTGTGGTGCGGGGGCCCTGGCTCACTAACGCTCCTGTCCTGCCGCCCCGTCCCTGCTGAGCTTTCTCTCACCTACCCGTCTTCTCTCCTGCTTCATTGCCTTCTGCCAAGCCTCGGCCCTTCTGTGGGGAAGATGCAGTGGCAGGGCACCACCTGTCCCTGCCGGCACCCTGCAGGCCTCCTCCCTCCTCTCAGCCCTGCTAACCGTCTCTCTTCTCCTCCTCTGCTGGCGTGCCGGGATCTCCAGTGTGTTCGGGGGCTTAAGGACCTCCTGAGGACCGCTGCTGTCTGCCTCTCCAGGAGTGGCCTGGGGGGAGCCAGGCACCCGGCACCTCCACCTGCCTAACCCGTGGCCACCTGCCACCATCTGTGCCTACAGGGTCTGCCCCCAAACCTGCCCCACACGTGTGCTCTCTCGGGCCCCCAAGGGGGCAGGAGCCGGCCTCTGCCCCACTGCACCGACCTGAGTGTCATAAGCCATATGCAGCTGTCAGCGGTGCTATGACACTGCGCTGACCTCGCTCTCCCCTCCCCCACCTTACTCCCCCTTTCCCAGCTCTGTAAGGTGTCAAGACTCCTTAGGAATCTTGTCTTGCAGCTTGCATCCCCCCCCCCCCCCCCATCAGGCATAGCCAGGTCGAGCTGAGCAGGTTTCTTCAGGAGCTGTCTGGTGTGGATGGTTGATGACGCCGCTGAACAAGTTGGGTGACTGTTCTAAGTGCATCCAGCTTGACACGGTTCCCACGGCCCCTCCGCCCCCACCATCAGTAGGGAGGACACAAGGGAGATGCTTGCTGCCCTTGCTCTAGGCACTGAGGGACTGAGTGAGCTCCCCAACACTGGAGAGACTAAAGGAAACCAGACTGGACCCACAGGGGGGGATGCTTGCCCGCTGCCCTGTACCTTTTGTAACCAGAATAAAGATCCCCTCTTCTTGCCATAGTCTTGGCTCTTTGGTCCACCTTTACTTCAGAGTCTACTGTGGGTGTACAGGGGCCCTCTGGCTTCCCTCCGAGTCCGGCTTCCCTCTGGCTGGTCAGTGTGGTTCTGGAGGTCACAAAGAGGCACAAGACCAGGAATGACAGCAAGGGCAGCCGGCGCCCTGTTCACCCTGCACTCAGAGCCCTCCAGAGACATTCCATCCTTAGCTGATCTCTGACTCAGAAGTCCCAGCCCAGGCAGAGACGGAGGGTTTCACTTCAGTCTGGGACTGTCACATCCCTGGACTGAGTCCCACGTCAAGTCACAGGGTGTGCAGAGGTAAAGACAGTCGCAGCGGCCAGGCCTGTTTCCCTGCCTGAGAAGTGATGTCAGCCTTCGCACAGAGGGGAGAGCTGAGGCTCGGAAGGTACAGGGCTGGCCCAGGGTCTCCCAGCTGGCCAGGCAGAGAACCCAGGCTTGGACCTCTGTCCTGACCTTTGACCCTTCTGTGCTACCTAGGCATGAATGTCACTTTCAGGAGGGGAGCTCTGAGGTAGAGGTAGGAACAGCTCTCCACTTAGAGAGTGTCGTAATCTGTGCCAGCTGACTTGCCACTGGGGAAACTGAGACCCAGAGGCAGACCACACCCGGATCTCATTCCCTTCTCTGCCCCAAATTCTACTCTGCCCTAGACTGGACTAGCCTAGAGGATGTGGAATACTCTAAACGGCAGTGCCTTGGGGAGAGAAAGTCTCAGAATAGCTGAGTCACTTAAAAGCAACCTAACGTCCCTTCCCAGAGGCAACTCGGAGAGTGGGCTGTTGGCTGGATAACTGAGCTTTTGTTCACGAAGAACCAGGGGGAGAAGATTTCATATGTCTGCTCGTCTCCCTTGTAATTTATTGATTCCAAGACTGGAACATTTCCTGGGAAGTTCTTCTGGAGTCTAACCAGAGTTCTCCCTGCTGCAGCAGCCAGAGCTCTGTGCCCTGTTCTCAGTGGGACAGATAACACCTGGTCGCTGCCTTTATACTCTCCAAGCCTGTCATTACCAGCTGGGGCATGGCTCGCTATGGCGCCAGAGGCCTCGAGCCCATGCAAGGATGGATGCGTGTGGAAGGGCGGGAGGCGAGCAGGCAGGATGAGGAAAGCCCCCGTAGGCTGCAGCCCCAGCTCCTGTCCTGCTGACTCAGGTAGCTGGCTGTGGAACTCCAGGCCCTGCCAGGGCCTGCTGCCTCCTGCCTGCCTGGGCTCCTGGACTTGGGAAATGGAGGCCTGGAGGCAAAGGGAGGAACCTGAGACAGGAACTGAGTCAGGACGGACAGGCCAGAGCGGGCAGGTGGTGTCTGGCAGCCTGGCTCCCAGATTCACCCCTGATTTTCTCAGGGGAGGGGCCGGAGTGAAGAGACTTCCTTTCCCTTGCTCAGGGCCTTGCACAGGGCAGGAGCTGGGGTGGTGAGGCACCACCAGGCCTCCGTCCTGAGCATCAGGGAGAGTGTTCCCTCCCTAGAAGTAGAAGCTCCCAAGTGCCCGGGCCTGCCAGGCCCTGTCTTCTAGGTTTCTGGGACCAAAGCTTGCTCACAGGACTTGGGAACGCCTGGGCTGGTGACTAGCACAGAGGAAAGTCCTTGCGGACCCAGGGCCTTGGTGGGTCAGAAAAATGCCCAAGATGGTGAGGGAGGAGGTGGTGCCGAGCAGCCTCTGACACATCGCTGTGAGAGGGAAGAGGGGGACACGCTGAGGGCCAGGGTCTGGCCCAGGGCCCGTGCCGCTTCACAGAGCCTAGCTCTGGCAGTGCTGGAGCGTATGTTCATCACCACACAGTTGGTTGAACTTTTTCACATCAGTCACCATGCAGTCTGCTGAGTGCTTTCTGTCAGCTCACTTAGTTCTTACCACAGGTCCCGTTTGATACTGAAGAAAGCGGGAGCTCACAGTGGCTGCCGCTTAACCGAGGCCACAGCAACCTGTAAGCATTGCACCAGGCCGATTTCAGATGGTGTGCTGTTCTCCCCTCCTAGGAAAAAATACACATTGGCCACAGATAACTTCACAGGAAAATGAAAAGGAAAAGCAATCACTTGGACTCCCACGACCTAAAGATAGGCTCTGTAACTTGGTACCTCAGTGCGTCTCCTTTCCATCATGTCTGTCAGTGATCTAGTTTGAACAAAAGCTTGGGGGTATCCAGCCGAAGATGCCTTCTGCTTCCTTGGAAATCCTGGACTATCAGCCTAGACTTCCTTCAAAGAGGCAGATCGCATCTTGCAGCCTCAGAGTCTGGCCTAGGCCTCCCTCCAGGAGAGGAGGGTGGGCATCCAGACCTGGAGAAGAACCAAAGGAGGGACAGGTCTGTGAAAAGGTCCTGGCTCAAGGATTAAGCCGTCTGGAACCTCCTGAGGGGAGCCCCACCCCTCAGCCCATCTGGGCTTTGGCTGAGAGTGGGGCAGATAGAAACCCATCCTCACAGGCACAGAGCCAACACCTTCAGGAGAAACTCGTGGCTGACACAGGGTAACCCAAGTGAGCAGGGACAGAGAAGTCTTTACCCCTGAGGCCTCTGCCAGGGGTCAGAGGTGGGGCTGTGGTCCAAGGGATGGACAGGGAAACTTCTGAAGCGGGCTGGGGAGGTGACACTCAGCTAGGATTCTGCCCCATAAAACAAAATAGCATGTGTCACCACTGCCTCCTTTTTCTTGGTCCTGGTTTTCTCCCCAGGTTGCTAGCGTCCCCCCTGGGGAGCCAAACTGGACTGAGCACCAGGTGGCCTGCTTCCCAGCTTCTGACAGAGGGCAAGCTGAGTCAGGCAGGAAAGTGGGCCAGCCAGCAAGCCGGGCCCCCACCCTTCATGAGCCCCACTGATACAGGACAGCAGGTAGCTTATAAGGGGCAGGTGACCTGGCGTGGCGAGCCAGAGAGTAAGTCCTCAAACAAGTGGCAACAGGCCACCAACTTGAAAGGGGAAATTGTGCTACAACGGGGAAGGTGTCCGACAGACCTACTGGGTGACTAATTACAAGGGTTGGGCTGGAGCGTCACAGGCCGCTCGTTAAACTCCTCATTCAGTGGCACCCTGAGAGCTGCCACCTGTGCACTCTGGGAGTGCCAAGGGGACAAGATCCTAAGGGGGGAGGGTGTGAGCACCCACCGATGGCACTACTTAAGGTAGACTCTGAAAGAAGCTTGGATCTCACTTTTAAAACTGCAGCTCACTGCTCAGAGGCTTTGATGGGACTGGAGCCAAAGCAAGAAGAATGTAGGTGACTTAGTAGCTGTGACTCTGGGCAAGTGTCTCCCCTTTCTGAGCCTCAGTATCCTCATCTCACAAGTGGGAGTATAGTCATCGTCCTGCCCACCCCACAGAGACATATTAGGGATGAAATTAGACCATGGATATGAAAGTGTTCAGAAAACTGTGTATAGCCACCTAGACACGAATGATCTCACCGACACCACGCAGGGGGATATACCTGGCAGGGTTAGGAACCCTCCTCTTGCACCTGGCTTTATGGGCTCTACCTGAGCGGAAGTCATCCCGAGCCCCTGGAAGGACACACGAGGGAGGATCTGATCTGAGAACCTGGGCACCCGTGTAATGGAGCTAGGACAAGAGGGGGCCATCTGGAGCCTAGAGAGCTGCCTGTACAGGTGGGGCCAACGCCCAGATTTCTCCTGCTGACTGTCCCGATGACTCACCCCCAAGACCAGGCCCTTTTACCTTTAAGGAAGAGCCGGAAAGGGTGTGGGGAAGCAGAGGAGAGGGAGGGAGGTCCTGAGCTCCAGACCCGCCCTTTGCCCCTCCCTACCCTTCTCCGGGCCAGGCCTTCCAGCCAAAAGGCAGGCAGAGCACAGGAGAGGCGCAGAGTCCAGCACTGGTCCCAAGGCAGCCAGTCACCCCACCGCCTACCGGTCCCCAGAGCCATGGAGAGAGCCAGTCTGATCCAGAAGGCCAAGTTGGCAGAACAGGCCGAGCGCTATGAGGACATGGCTGCCTTCATGAAGAGCGCCGTGGAAAAGGGTGAGGAGCTCTCCTGTGAAGAGCGGAACCTGCTCTCCGTGGCCTACAAGAATGTGGTGGGCGGCCAGAGGGCTGCTTGGAGGGTGCTGTCCAGTATTGAGCAGAAAGGCAACGAGGAGGCCTCGGAGGAGAAGGGCCCGGAGGTACAAGAGTACAGGGAGAAGGTGGAGGCTGAGCTCCGGGGCGTGTGTGACACCGTGCTGGGCCTGCTGGACACCCACCTCATCAAGGAGGCCGGGGATGCCGAGAGTCGGGTCTTCTACCTGAAGATGAAGGGCGACTACTACCGCTACCTGGCCGAAGTGGCCACCGGGGACGACAAGAAGCGCATCATCGACTCAGCCCGGTCGGCCTACCAGGAGGCCATGGACATCAGCAAGAAGGAGATGCCGCCCACCAACCCCATCCGCCTGGGCCTGGCCCTGAACTTTTCCGTCTTCCACTACGAGATCGCCAACAGTCCCGAGGAGGCCATCTCTCTGGCCAAGACCACCTTCGACGAGGCCATGGCTGACCTGCACACCCTCAGCGAGGACTCCTACAAAGACAGCACCCTCATCATGCAGCTGCTCCGAGACAACCTGACGCTGTGGACGGCCGACAACACTGGGGAAGAGGGGGGCGAGGCTCCCGAGGAGCCCCAGAGCTGAGGCAGGCCTGCTACCCTCCCCGCCCTGCCCTCTCCAGACCCGCACCCCCGGCAGAGAGGACTTGTATGGGGTGGGAGGCCCGACCTTTCTCCTTGAGTGCTCTGATCCAGCTCAGAGCGGATCCCTGAAGTGGGACCAGCAGAGCTGAGGCCACCTGGAGCCAGGAGAGCGCACGGTTTGTGCGGCTGTTGGGTGCGCCTAACCACTGGCCATCTCACCCAGCCCTGCCCTCTGCACCCCCTTCCTCGAGAGCCCCCACCTGTGAACCAGGCCACTTCTCCCCTGCTCCTGACTCCCTCCTGCCCCTGCTGCCTCTGGATCTTAGGAATTGAGGAGTGTCCCACCCTTGTGGCTGATTCAGACTGTGTGGCCAAGGCTGGAGATGTGTGTGTGTGTGTGTGTGTGTGTGTGTGTGCAAGACCTGGAATAAGAGGGAAAGTATGTCTGCTGGGTGTGACCATGTTTCCTCTCAATAAAGTTCCCCTGTGACACTCCTGTCTTTTCCAGTTATTGGCTGCGGGTTGGGACTGGGACTGGCGTAGGGTCCCGGGAGACCCTGACTTTGGACTATCGATTTAGGGGCCTGACCTGCCAGGAGGCGACCCACAGGCCAGGGATTCAGCTGTGGATTCAGCTCTCTATCAGCGTGGCCCCAAACACTCCAGTCTGGTCCTGACAGGGTCAGGTGATGGCTAAGACGGTTTTGAGGCTCCTTGGCCGGCTAAAGCCAGATTCGTGGGGCCAGAAACAGACGGAAGAGCTCAAATCTGAGGACACAGGAAACCAGTGAAGCCTCAAGTGTGACCTCAGGGTACAGGGCTGCAGGGACACGTCATAGCAGATCTGGGCGCCCCAGATCTGAAAGTGGGTAACAGTCCCATAGGGTGCTCCGATCTGCAAGAAGGGAGAACGCATGGGGCGCCGCCATTAAAACCCAGATCTGAGGCACGCCCCCCTCCCGCTCCCCCTGCAACCTCCTCCGGCTTTCCGAGAAGAGGCGCAAGTTGGGTGGGAAGGGGCGCTGGCCCGTCCAGGCGGCCGCGCTCGCCGCCTCCGCTCCCCTCAGCAACACGCCGAGGCCTGCGGCGGCCGGGCTGGGGCTCGGCTTCAGAGCCGGGGCTAGAGGCGGGCCCGCGGCGGAGGCCGCCCAATCGCGGGAGGGGGCTGCTCAGGGTCCCGCCCCCCGGGCCTGACGGGCCAATGTGGGGGTGAGCGGCGGACGCGCGCGGCGCGTCTCCCCGCCGCCGGAGTGGCTCCGCCGCGCCGCGCCGCGCCGCGCCGCGCCGCGGGTCTGAGGGGCGCCGCCCCCCGCAGGGGGCCTGGGGCGGCGCTTCCCGGGTTTCACTCCTGCAAGTTGCTACCCGCCCGGCCCGAGAGCGCAGCATCCTCAGAGCAGCGGCACGGGCGGGTCGCGCGGAAAACGCCGTCCCGGCCCCGTGAGTCACCGGCTCCTGCGGGCGGGGCTGGACCCGCGGGCGACGCGGGCGCAGGGAAAGGCCCGGAGCGCGCCTCGGGCCGCCCGGGACGGGGCCGGGGGACCGGGGCTGGGTCCCCGGCCGCCGCGACCGAGGCTGTCACCTCACGGGAGATTTGAAACGAGCCCCTGCTTCCTAAGAGGGGCGGAGGAAGTTGGGGAACTAAGTGCAGGTAAAGTAGCCCCGCAGAGTTCCTCGCTGTTCGGAACCCTCCGGCATCTTTGGGCCAGGGCGCACCCCACATTTCTGGGCCCAGGGCGGAATTCCCAGCCTGGCCCCTGCCGAGGAGCGGGAAGCCGGCCGGCGCCCCCAGGCCAAGAGCGCCCCCCACCCCGCCCCCCCACACCCGAGCTGGAGCGCTGTTGTCTCCGCCGACCTGCGGAGGGCCGCCCCCCCACTACCCCCCCTCTTCTGGAAGTGTGTTAAGTCTCCAGGTTCCCAACTAGGCAGAAACTGGGCCTGGGCCGGTGACTCCCCTGGGCTCTGGAGGTGACCCGGTTTCTCTGACCAGACAGGTCTGGTGACTTTCTCTTAATAGGGTAGGTCCTGGGAAAGGCTCCTCGCTCTTCCTCTCCCTCTCGCTGCCTCCAACTGGCCTCCTCCTCCAGGCCGCGCCTGGTTGCCCTTTTAGGGGAAGGGAAGGAGCTATCGGGGGTGACCCCTTGGCGCTGAAGGAGCTGGCTGGCGAGGGAGTGAGCCGCCGGCTTAGCGGCCTGGGCTGCTCTGACGCTCGCTCAGACGCTCCCTCAGACGCTCGCAGGCCTTTTTTTGTCAGACATGTAAATGTTTCAGTCCTTGCAAAGCTTTCTACCCTCACTGAGCATTCTCGGCCTTTCCTGGCCTAATTGGCCATTTCAAACATTTCAGTCCAACTGCTAGTGGGTGTGAAGTTTCTTGGGAATACTGAAGAACACTGGACTTTACATTTTAGAAAGATAAATTCCATGGTATATGAGTTATCTCTTTTAAAAATACCTGTCCAGAGGGCAAAGTAAGTGAAACTGCCAAGTTGTGCTGGAAGTTTCATGGTGGCCACTACCTTTTTTCCACTGTCCTCTCCACTTGAGCATGTTCTTTTAATTTTTTCCAATTTTTCAGAAACATTTACTTATTTATGCATACAGGAGCTGAGGTGTAGGCCAGAGGTGTGTGTAGGGGAGTTGGGGGTGAAAGGATCCAGAGACAGTGAGGAGCAGAATAGGCAGATCATCTAAAACCCACAGCTGAGGGGAGCAGCTGGGGAGACAGGAGAGGTCTGCTGTGCCATGTAGATCAGCTCCCTGGCTGGGGATCGTACTCCTGCTGCAGTGGCTGCTGATAGCTTTGTAGTGCTGAGACTTAACCCTGTGTGCCATCAGGGAGCCCCCTTTCCCAAAGGCACTGTCTTCAGGTCAAAACTTCCCTTTAACACATATCCTGAGCGCGAATCTGCTGTCTGTTCTTCCAGCCCCTCACATCTGTATAGGTACATTTACTTAATCTCAAGTGTACTTGAGCCCCACTGGGTTCCAGCTAGGTAGGTCCTGGTTTATCTCCTCAGAGAGCTACCTAAGCATGGACTCCCGCAAGGTTCTGTGTTCAAGACTTAGTTTCAAAACTTCATGCTCGAAAACCAGGTTTAGGGCCTGGGCCTCTGGTAGAAATGGAAACGCAGGTGGTTGAGTTGAGGGAGGGCTGTCTAGACAGAGATTAAGTTCATAACATTTGAGTTACTCTAACCCCATCCTTTCTGCACTGCCAGATATTCCCCTGGGAAATGGAGGTCTGGGGTTTGCAGAAATCTTCCTCTCCCAAAAATTTGGGAGACATGGGGAAATTTGTTACCTAAATTTTCTAGAGAAGGTGTTTCTCTTCTCTCACAACTACTTCAGTGAGCAAAAACCCAGTTTAACTCTGTAGGTCCGTAGTAGTGGGTGATGGAAGAGTACTGGGGTTAAGGTACCCTGTAAAAACCGAGCAGGCACCCCAAGGAGGCTAAGGCACTGGAGTTAGACAGGCCACTGTGACTCCTTCAAGAAAGGCAAAGCACTATGCAGGCACACACATGCGCTCTCACACACACTCACACTGTCCAAATGACTGATGCCTTTTTAGGAATACTGATTTCAGATGCTTACACCGACACTGCTCTCTGACCAGCAGTGCCCACTCTGGCTTCTTACTGGAGAACAGAGTACAGTAACAATAGCAGCTGGCACAACCACTATGTAGGAAGCAGTTTCATACCTTAATCCTTGCACGTACATATTACCATCTTTGTTTTGCATGTGAAGAAGCTGATGCTCAAAGCAGCTAAAAACAAAAAAATCCTAATAATAACCAAGGTTATACAACTAGTTATGTGTCTGGAAGTTAAACGGGGTCTAACTCCAAGGCCCATGATTTTAAAATACACAGCTGCTTTCTGACTATTCAGAGGGTTCCCCAGAAGCTGCCACTGGGCAAGAGCCCAGCAGTCAGGGTTTCCTCTGTTTCCACACACTTGGGTTAAAATAGCCACACATATGTCTGTTTGTGTATTGGAGTTTCATGACTTAAAAATAAGTTTGAAAAGAACCACATTATGCTATGCTTGTTCTACTCTATCTTGGAGTTTCTAAAATTCAAGACCTTCTCACTCTATCAATCTAATGCCACCCCAGGGCCCAGCACAAAAGAACTGTCTTAGCGGAAAAAACAGCAACAAAAACTTGAATGGTGGACCAATTTCTTGGCTGGTTCACCAAGTTTAGTTTTCCTTAATCTGGTTCCTTCCTTCCTTTTCAGTTATTCACCCTGTTCACAGAGTCTAGTCTTGTCTCCTATCCCTGCTGTTTGTGGGGGTGACCTCACAGAACCCCCTTAGCTCCACCTGCCCAATGAGTCAGCAGCCAGGAATGTCTGTGGGGGCAGCAGACAGGTATGTCACCCTGGGGGTGTCAGGGGGCTGATTCATCTCATCTCCACCCAATCTCCTTACTGCTCTCTGGGAAATTTAACTCTTTACTTGTCTAGAGATAAAAGAGGAAAATCCCAGACTCTGAAAAAGCATGGAGTCTTTGATCTGTGGCTAGGTGCAGCATATAATACATCAGTATGAGGATTCAATAAGTATTTGTTAAAAGAAAGGCAGGAAAGAAGGGGAAAAGGCATTATTTTCATCCTCCAGGACTGATGGAGAGAGAAAGAGGCAATATCCAGTGTGAAGGGGAGCTGCATTGCGAAGCCAGAGAGCACTGCTGTTTTGTTGAAATGGTTTTGAAGGGGCCTCTCATCTCCCTCCTCTACAGGGTTTTGGATGGGGAAGAAAAACTTAAAACTTTGCTATGTATTCTAATCCAGAGCATCTTGCCAATACTCAAATGCCCAGCCTGGCCCCTCAGTCTTAGACTTCCTGGGTAGCTGGACTTCTGGGATTGCCTGAATTGGCTCAGTGGCTAGAAGTGGTGGCCACAGTGGGTTGGAAGTGAGGCACACAGCTTCGCCCATCCTCAGCAGGCTGATGCCGCTGAGGTATGTTCTGGTTTGGAACTAATACTTCCAAAGGGTACAGGGAGAGGAGGTGGGCTGACCAGCACAGGCAGTCAGGCTCCAAAGCTCAAGAAAATAGGGATGCAAAGGAAGGCAAGGGAGAACTTCGCTTGCTAGAAAATTGCCCTCCAGAATTCTGATGCAGTTGGGCCTCTATGGTTTTCAAAGACGGGGAGCACCTTAGTGCTAACATGGGTCTGCAGCCTCTCCACTCCCCTCTCAGGAAGCTTGAGAAAGGACAGAACATCCTTAAGATGTTCCCTCCTTTCCACAGACCTTAATGGGTTTAGGGTTCCTGTTCTCAGTCAATGTGAGTGAGGAGTTTGCTAATCTAGAAGCAGCTCAGAAAAGACTGGATGTTCAGCTCTGTGGGCTTTATGGTGGCACCCTTTCTCCTAAGCTTCTTTGTCAGGGGTGGGGGGAAGCCTTTCCAATTACCTGTGGCCCCCAGGTGTAGGGATTCCCCATTGAGAGCCAGAAAACACACATATCCTAATGCCACTGGGCTACCAAATGACCAGGAGGCTGCTCTCTGAGGCACTAGGGGGTTTTCCTCCCCTGGAAGGTGTTCGGAAGTGACAAGTGAGTTCTGGAGGCGAGAACCATGTCAGACAGTGTCCATGAGCTGTAAAGTGACAATTTTCTGGACAATTTTTTTGACAATGTGAATCTAGAACCTGGTGCCTACTCTATTTCCAGGACTTTATCGTAAGTTAAAAATTAGAGACTCAAAGATTTGGGTACGAAGATGTTAATGACAGCACTATTTACAGTAGCAAAAGTTGAGAGTCTGGATAATTAAACAATGTTATCACCATACCACAGGTTATCATGTAGACATTAAAAGGATCTTTATATTTTTAATTACATGAGTGTTAACTAAAAAAAGCAGGTTACAAAGCAATTGTAGCATATCCCACTTAGATAAATGATCTCGCTTCCCTCCATGTATAGAAAAATAAGACTGAAGGAAAAACACACAAGATATGTTTATTTTAAAAGATTTATTTATGCATACAAGAGCTCAGGTGTAGGCCACAGGTACAAAGGTGTTGCTAACCCACCGAGGGGTGCACTGACTTCTACATTTGCCCGAACTTAGGAGACTTGGAACTTAGGAGACTGGAGTCGGGAGAGAATGAAGCAGGAGCCTGGGGTCTGGAGCCCGAAGTCTGTTTATTAGGACCGCCCATGGGTATATATAGGGTCTGTTTGTGCAGGGAAAAACAGGAAATGTGCCTGACACAGGGAGTGGGGTGCATGTTTGTAGGGGGCCTGGGGCTTCTTGTAGCTTGAAACAAAGAAGTGGGTTGCAGCTATTTGCAGGACAGAGTGCACTGTGCTCTGCTGACTTGTTTGCTGGCCTTACTGGGGAGTGTGCTCCCCCATGCACAACATTAGCCAGGGCGGACAGGTGCACTTGAGGTCCTGCAGAGCTAGCCGTGCAAAGGAGTGTGCTGGGGGGGTGCGAGGGGGAGGGAAGAGCTGAGAGGATTCACCAGAGACAGTGGAGAGTGAAACAGGCAGATTGATAAGTACACTGCTGAGGGGAGCAGTGGGTGAGACAAGTCTGCTGCGCCATGTGGGTCAGCTCCCTGCTGGGGATCAAACTCCGGCTGAAGGGCTGCTGCTAGCTTCACAGTGCTGCCCTCCAACCCATTGTGCCACCAGGGAGAGCCCTAGTTGTGTGTGTGTGTGTTTATTAACTATGTATACAGTACTGGGGTGCAGGGACGGTGAGAGGATTCACCAGAGACAATGGGGAGCAGAACAGGCAGACCTGACAAGTCATACTACTGAGAGGCGCAGTGTGCAGGTCAGGCGAGGTCAGCGAAGCCATGTGGGTCACCTCCAGGCCTGGGGAATCGAACTCGCACCGAAGAAGCCGCAACTAGCTTGCAGTGCTGGGCTTTAACCCGCTACGCCACCAGGGAGGGCCTAGTTTTGTGGGTTTTTTTTTTTGTTTTTTTGGAACTGTCTTCTTCATCGTTAGTTTTGTGTTTTTATCAGAAAGGGAAAATAAAAAATTTTAAGGCAGGTTAACACATGCCAGCCATATTGGAGAATGGTCATTCAGCCCACAAATCACCCAGTCCCAGTCTCTTCTCTGCATAGTGCTGTACCCTCCCACCATGCAGGGGAAGAATCATCTTGCTTTCATTAGAGCAGAAGACACCCTTGCTGTGACACCAAGGCCTCAAGACAAAGCTTTGGATTTCCACCCTTTTCTACTACAGGACTGCAAAAGAATAATGCTGAGGGTGCTTGGATATGAGACCATAAAGTTCTCAATGACGCCTTCCTTCCAAACTGGTTTGCTTTGGTGAGCGCTGGAGCCTCTGTGATGGGGTAAGCATTAAAACCCATGACCACAGCTCTGGCTATTTTCAAAAACACAGCACCCACCCTCACATCCTAACTGATGAGGAATTTGTCCAGCACCTGGGCGCCAGGATTGCTGAGCTCCAGGCACCACAGTGACTCACAGCCAGCCTTAGGCTGAGCCTCCTGGCCTCAGTTTCCCTGGCTAGCTCTGTTGATACTCCCCACCTACTGTGCAGGGTGTTAATAGGGGTGAGATGCTTTGAACTCCTCACATGAAAGAGGCTGGGGAAGCAACACCTGGTTATTATCCCCTCTATGGTCAGGCGTGGGAGGGGAGGTTGGCGGCTTTCATATTGTTCCAGCCACAGCAGCTTCCATGGAGCCCCTTCCTCTTCTGGCTTATGCTCTGGCTGCCAAAACTGGAAAGGGAAAGACCCCATTTCAAAGCCGCTTCAGAATAGGTTTCCTTAAACTGAATCCTCCAGGTGCCACCAGTGATCTCTCTTCCGTCTGATTTGTGATTTAGTCATTCTGTGTCTACACACTGTCTCCTGTTGGCTACAAATCCTGTGGGGCCTTAACATTTCACTATGAAGTGTTTGCGATTAAGAAGTGAGTAAAATGGACTATGAGAGACGCAAAGTTCAAGCTCCTGATCCTGAGGTTTCCTCACTATAAAATGGGACTTAGTAACACCCCCATTTTGTCCACCCAGAGTTGCTGGCTGAGAGACACATGAGGCCCATGTGTGTGGAAGCACTCTAAAATGCCAAGCCCCTGTTTTAACAGGACCCAGTGTCTGGAAGGAAGACTTGGCAAAACTGCCATCTGTCCCTTTCTGCCCCCAGGCTACAAATGCAAATGGCACAATTTTTTTTCAAGCCTGGGATGCCACCTATTGGCTGAAAATATGAATTGCATTCAACTAGTTGGCAAGAGCAAAGGAAGCAAATGTTATTTCTTATTTTCAAGGCATCTTAACTTTTGCCACACCATCATAATGTATGATGTATGCAATATTTTTTATAATTCACTTTTTAGAAATAGTTTTCATTTTAAGGTGAACTTTTAATCACTGCCATAAATGAAAAACTAGTTAACACCTGCCCAAAACAGAACAAAACCATGAAATACAATAGAAGTACTTTAAAATAAAATCTAGCTAAGAAGTGTTGCCTGTGAAAGTTCAATCTTGAGGTTCACTGTTAAAACTGAATATGAACAAAAGCATATGATTGGAGACTGTCCACCCCCCGACCCCCATGCTCCTGTACTTTTGGGAAAATGTCCACCAGGTAAGAGGTAAGGTGGCAGTCTGCCCCAGATCCCTGGGTCTGGACAGTAGAAGCCACAAAAGCAGAAAGTCAACCCTTGTATTGTAGTACAGTCCATCACTGCCAGGGTGGGGCAGTGCTGTGTTCCCGGTGGTGGTGCCCAGAGCTCGTGAGCATAGAGGATGGTGGGCGCTTTGCCGGCACCATGTCTGCCTCTTGGCTAGATGTCCTTGGCAGGGCCGAGTCTCCCTTTGCCAGTGTCCCAGTTTGGCCGAAAGGATTTGCCCTTGGCTTTGGGCCTGCAGAACTGTCTGCTGCTCGCTGGGAGTGGCCACTTGCCCCGGTACTGGGTTACGCATCTGGCTCTCCAGAGCCAGATTGTTGCTATAGCTGCATGGTTTCCTGCTCCACTGACTGGTCTGAGGGAGCCAGGTACTTCTCCTGGATGCCCAGGGTGCTGGTAGACAGTGTCAAGGCAGACAGCGTAGGCCACGATGGACACCTGGCCTGGGGAGGGGCTGTCACGGATCCCCGCCATCCACACATCTGGCAGGTTCTCTTCCACCCCCTCCCGCCTTCTTCAAAGCTTCGGGTAACAAACAGTTGGGTTTGAGAAGACCCGCAAAGCATCCGGCTGCAGACGCTTCCCCATTTACCTCTTCCACACACTGCTGTGGATCCAATGACCAAAAGTCACCACCCCTCCAGCTGTGTATAGCACAGGCTCTGGTACCAGGCTGCGGGCTCACGTCCTGATCCCTGATCGTGTCACTCCCCCTCACCCGTAAAACAGCATTGTGAGGACCAAGAGGCACAAAGAAAACATGGCCTGGCATTGCACTTGGCATGCAATGGGTGCTCATTAAGTGTCTGTGACTGTGCTAGTTCCCACTGCCCACCCAAGAGCTGAAGTCCACAATCCTTCACCGGGCACCCAACCCCTCCACCAGCACCAGCAGCACTGCCTCCTGGAACCCCTGCGTATCCTTGCCATCGCCACATGCAAGCTAGCCAGGCGGGCTGAGCCCTTGCATCTCTCCCAAGGACCAAGGCCTTTTCATTTTGGGGCCTCTCTCTTTGTTCTTCCTTCAGATATCCTCTTTTGTCTTCATGTGTAACCTATCCCAAAGCCTTCTCAGGGACTAGCCTTTGCAAATGAAAGAGTCACCATGAAATCAACGGGGCAACACAAAATTAGTCACCTACAAGGGGAGCTGTGGCCATTTCTGAGTCCCTTGTCTCCCTTCTCGGCTATGGCTAAGAAGAGGTTGATACTAGCGAACAAGGATACGAGGAGAAATGGAAGTCGGCTCCCATGGCGGCAGACATCATGGCCTCCAGGCTCCGCTGCTCTTGGACCCCGAAACAGTAGCCATTGGCTTTGTCCACAGCCTGCAGAACTCGCTGAATACTCTCCTTGTCCTGGGAGGGGGGGAAGGAGACAGGTATGTGGAACTGAGGTACCAAACTGTCTGACCTCCATGCAGCTTTCCTAGGCCTGGAGCAGTTCTACTCGTCGCCAGAGGCCTGGCGACATTCCACTTCTCTTGACCACACCCACCCAAATGAAAACAGATAAGCCACGCCCCTGGGTCTATCCCTACTATAGTTCTGATCCTACCATCTTATAAACACCTGTAAACTCACCTGTCTCCTCTACTTGACTGTGCACCCTTGGAATTAGGGGCTCATTTATTGAGGTATCCCCACTGCCCGGGAGATACTTAGCTAATAGTACGTAATACCCAATAAATATATCTGTTCATCCACTTCACCTTCACATGATGGGAAAGAGAGATCAAAATAATATAGTGTAGTCCTCAACACAGGGCCTGGGAGAGGAAGCCTTCAACAAGTGGCAGTCGTTATGATTAAGATTCATCCCCTCGTTTAGAGGAGGAAAGTGTGAGAGGAGAGACAAATTTCCCCAGGTCTGTATACTGCAGAAAGGAAGCTTACAAGCACCTGTGTCTCCCAGCTTATCTTTGTGGGATGCAAAGTTAACAGCAATTGCTCAACTGATGCATCTCAAGGAGGCTATGTGCTATCCCTGATCTAGGACAAGTCCCTTGCTAGTGACTCTCTGAAGTCATTTTCACACTGAGGAGAGAACATGTGTAGAGAGAACCCAGTAATACAGAATAGCTATGGCCAAAATTTGGTTCATCCTCTTCACTGGAACCCTACCCATCACTACCCCTGGCCCCAAACCAAGGGGACCAAATGATAATCAGACCCGGGACAAAACCACTGAGTCCTGAAAGTTTCTTGCACTCCTGGTGTGGTGAGGTCACAGGAGCTGCAGAGCCTGTAGCTGAGGGAAGAGGCACTGTAGTCCCCAGTACCTGGATATTGAGAGGGATGAAGGACACCAAACTGTAGTCTTCAATGAGCTGCACCAGTTTCTCATTGAGCTGACGGTAGTGGCGGAAGAAGGGATCAGAAGCTAGGTGGTCGAGCAGGTAGGAGAGGTCCAGGACCTCTGTGTAGTAGTCCAGGTTGAAGGCTAAAGACAGAAGCAGCTGGCATCAGGCTAAAGACATAAAGACAGGGATCATATTTTCTGTCTTCCCATGCCTGCACTCACTCACTCAACAAATGTTTGTTGAAGCAGTGAAATGAAGTTACGAAGAAGAAAATATTTGGTGTCACTTGCAGGCGCTGCCATTTACCGACTATATGGATCGGTACCCACCTCACTATTGCAACACTAGTGACTGCTACAGAGCAGCACTTCATCAAAGGAAATAAGTAACAACACCAAACAGCATGAACAGTGCTTGAGCCCTGCCTCATGAAGCTCTCAGTTGTATACAGAATCCCCCAACAGGGACTCTGCAAATGCTGATGGAATTGCAGGTGCCACATTCAGGCAGGGTTACCTCTTGAGCAAGTCACTCTCCCTTTCGGGGTCAATTCCTTCTTTATGTTGGGCGAGGAGCCCAGCGTAGATGACGCAGAGTCCCTGACTCAGTTCTGTGAGTAGCAGCTTCCCACTATAAGGAAATTGGGCCTCTCTGACTGTCCATTTCCACCCAGGAAACTCAAGCACTTGAGCTACTCAGCAGGTCTGTCATAGAGTGAGCTGAGGGAGTAAGGCTGTCAGATACTGATGAGCTCATTCTTATGTACTGTATGCCAGTCAGCTCTAATCAGAAACTGATGCTTCTATGTCTATAATGAAAAATGTCCTGGAACAATCAGGACTCTTCTGAAGATAGATCACATTCCTTGTTTTGCCTCAACTCTTTGAACCTGGGTGGTATAAAAGTTTGGAAGCCACAAAAAGTAAAAAACAAACCTTGTACTATAATGTATTTGTCATAGCCTGGGTGGGGTCAATGCTGAATTCCTGGGGGAGGCACCCGAGTTCATGAGCACTGAGGGTGTGGAAGGTGTGGCCCAAAAAATGTCTTCAGTTGTCTGACAGGTACATTTTTCATCAAGAACTAAAAACCAGATACACTGGGGTTTGGTTCCACCACAGCTAACTTATCAGCTATCAGCGACCTTGGGCTAGCCAAGTAATGTCTCTAGACCTAAACTGCCTCATCTGGTTTGCACATCATACCGTGCGGATGGCAGGCACATGTAAGCACCAGAAAGGCTGAGGATCACCCTGTAGCCACCTGGGCTAGAGGCTGGGAGGGGGGACAGAGGGTTGGGAGAACTGAAATGAGGTTTTTGGATTTGCAAAGGCAGAACCAGGACTCTGGGCTGGGATGTCCCCTCCAAGGAGCTGACATCCCTCCAATCCTGACTGGCAGTCAGACAGTATCCTTTGGACAACTTCCCTCCTGCTCGCCGATGGGAATTTCAGCTATTTTATGTTCCCTTGTGGCTGGGGATGCTATTTCGGGAGCTGAAGCCCCCATGCTCAGCAGAGCACTAATTTTGTAGGGAAAAACATGCTAGCCATTGGGCCCCCAGGCAACTCGTCTATCTCACACTGGTCTGCTGCCCCCTCTGTCTCTTTGACAATGGCACCCTATCTGTCTACTGGCCCAGCTAGAAAGGGGAGAGTCACCCTTAAGTCCTGTTTTCATGTTCAATCCTTGAACTGTTCTGTTCCTTAAGTAAGTTTGAATCTGTCTTACTCCTTCCCACTGACTGAGCTGCTGCAGAAACCTAAGCGATGTTTGCACTCCTGTCCCTTTCAATTCATTCTTCACAAAGCAGCCAGAATAGTCTTTTCAGCTTACTGTATTTTTTCTTAATACTCATAATGGCTGGCTTTCTTTTGTGTTTAATCAGTACACAAGGGAGAAGGGAGTCAAAAAAAAAACAAAACGGCACAGGTCTGGTCCCTGACCACCTCTCTGATCTCATTTCTTCTGACAACCACTAGCTCAGCTACCCAAGGTTCCTCCCACTTCTTTTCCATAAACACAAAAAGCTCTTTCCTTAAGAGCCTTTACTGCTGGCCCTCTGCCTAGAATAGTTCTGCTCCTTCTCACCACTCAGGTCTCAGTCCAGATCGCACTGCTCATTCTCATTCCCAAACACTCACTGTCCCATCTCTAGTTCCTGCATAATATATTAACACTACCCACATCGCTCTTGTCCTCCAAACCCGGAACAGTGCGTAGTACAGTGGTTTAAAATAAACGTGCAGGGTACAGGACTGGCTGTGAGCACTGTCACCAGGCATGCGAGGCCCCTGGAGGCGGTGTCCTTCAGCTGGTATCCCACTTCACTCTGGTCCAGCAGCTGCCCTACTCCTTGCCTGTGCAGAACAGGTGTCTTACCCAGCTTCCCATAGTGCTCAATGAGGTCCATCTTGGAGAGGAGGTTGACGTGGGGCAGCTCCACATGGAGCATGGTGGCCAGGGAGGTACACAGTACCGAAATGAACTTGGCCGGGTCTGTGCAGTAATGAGAATCCACTAGATGGACGGCAGTCAGCTGGGAGGGGAGGAAGAGCAGTGTGAGAGTGGTCTGGGACAGCAGCGAACACCAAGGTCTGTCTCCCCCACCACTCCTGATGCCTGAAGAGTGCAAGCCTCTCCCATTAGTCTCCCTCCACTTCTGTTTCCGTCCAATAGCCACACTCTTTTCTTTCTCCCAGGAGACACAGGACTTTTTTCCTTACAAGACACCACACTAAGCCTCCCTGTAGGTGACTAGTTCAATTCCTGCTGCATCTGCCTCGACTCTTGTTATTTTTTGTCACCAGTTCACAACCATCACTATGCCATTTTCCACATAACCCCTTCCATCTTCGAGTAACCCCAGGTTGGTACTAATAGATCCATTTCACAGATGAAAAAACTGAGGTTCAGAGAGACAAATGGACTTACCCAGGACCACACAGCAAGTTACAGGCAGAGCCAGAATTTGAACTCACACCTGTTTTACTCCAAAGCGCCTCTCCAATCTCTACCAGGCTGTGTGGCTTGAGGGCGTGGCACAGTCCTCACAGCCTCAGTTTCTCCATCTGAAAATGGGCCTGCCCTAACCAGAGAAGAAACGCACCCTGAGGTCCCACTGCGCCATCTGGGAGAAGATACTGCGCAGAGCGCCGTGGTGCGTGCAGAGTTCCACCTGGCCTGGGCAGTCGAAAAGGAAGTAGTGGCCGCGCAGGGGCTCGAGCTTGGCGCGCAGCCAGTCCAGGTTGGCCTCCAGGTACTCCATGCAGTAGAGCAGGCCGCCGTTGGGGCCCAGGCGCAGCGCGTCCATCACGTCGCCCAGCCCCACCAGCTCGCTCACGTCCACGGCGCACTCGTACGGCAGCCCCTCGTTGGCCGGGTCCAGGTTCACCACCGCCACGCGCCGGCCCAGCGCGCGCAGGAACTCACTCATGCCCAAACAGTACGTGGTCTTGCCCGAGCCCGGCGGGCCGATCACTGCCTGCCCGAAGGCCGTGGCCGGGGCAGCCCCCGCCATGGACGGCGCGCTGTCCAAGAGGGGCAGCTACGTTCGGCGGGAGACAGCGCGGGCAGCCGCGTCCGAGACGAGAGTCACGGCGGAAGATCCCCGACATACAAGACGATGCCAGGGGTCGCCCAAGGGGCCAGCGGGAGCCCACCGCTGCCCGCCGCTGAGAGCCGCGGACCAGCCGGCCCGGCACCGACTTCCGGACGGCGTCGGAAACGGCGGGCGCGGGAGGAAGTCCCGCCCGCCGGCGCCGAGGGGCGTGGCCGCGCGCGCCGCCTTCCTTCTCCGGCGACGGGCGCGGGGGGCCTCTCCCCGGCCCCAAATTAGAAGAGAACGAGCCATCCCGCCGTAAACTTGTTTATTCTCCCGTTAGGTCGCAGGCCTGGGCCTCGTCCCGCGGACGCTCCGCAAGCGATACCAGCCAGTGACCGGCGAGGCAGTGGCGAGCCCGCCCAGACCGTTTACCGAGAACTACGAATCCTCCTCCAGGGCCTTTTCTGTCTTCTGACCTTCGTAGATTCGGCCCCTTACCACCACCCCAGTGAAGCTGTGCAGATAATATCAGCCCTTCAGCTTTTCAAGGTACTGCGGGGGGTGGATGAGGCGGGACAAACTGGGTTGAAGATTAGAAGACCGAGGAGGAGAGGTGTTTAAACCCTAATATCAAAGGGGAGAGGGGGCGACGAAGTGTAAAAATGTCCTAGACGTAGAGAACTGGATGGCCAATTCAGAGTAAAGCACCATAAACAAGCCACAGGGATCGCTGCTCCCAGACGCCTTTATGTGTCCATGGAAGACAGGCAGTGGCAGAGGGCTGCCGTTCTGCAGTTAGTGATCCTGCCCTCAAACCTGTCATTCAGGCTCCGAGGCGCTGCAGCCTCTCACAAAAGCCATGTCTGTCCGAAACTTCATGCTGGTGGGAGGCTGGCGGCGCAGCAGCGACTCCCCCTGGTCTTGGGGCAGGGGCTCATCATAGATAGTGGAGATGAGCCCCAGGCCAGTTGGTCGAGGCCTCTTCAACTGCCCAAATGGTTGCAGCTTCTCTCCATGGTACCTGGATTAAAAAATGGTCTCAATGAAGAGGACTGTTCTCTCTCATCCCAATAAGGGGGTGAGAGGAAAGGGAAGAGCTACTAAGACTCTACTGCGATCTGGTTTGTCCCAGAGTCAGAGCCTTTAAAAGTTTGGGTTTCTGTAGCCCCCTATGGTTAACAGTCAGCTCAGCATCCAGGCTCTCTGACACTGCTCTCACCGTGAACAGGACACAAAGTGCATACAGCTGCACTCACTGACTGCCAGGGAGGCTACCAGCAGGCAAGTGAGTACCCCAAGCCCTCACTTGGGGGGCTGGGGAGGGGGAAAACAGATGCCCATGGGGGGGCTGGTGTCAGTGATCCCATCAAATCTTAGAGCTTGTCAAAGAAAAAAAAAGGACCAGATCCACTTTTTCCTTCTAACTCTGCTTTGCTCTATCCCTTAAGGGTCTCCTAAGAAGGTCCCTCAGCCACACTCACCCCAATCCACGTTTGCATCTGGGATGCTGGCCATCACTATCCAGGGCCTCCGGCACCCCTGAGCACTGGCTGCCCAAGCCCTGGCCCTCAGCCCATCCCTGCCGCTCCATTACCTTCCGCCCAATGCCCTGCAAAGGGAAGAGAAAGGGACTTGAGATGGGGTTCCTGGGGTGGGGGGGGAGGAGACGAGGTTAAAGAAGAAAAAGAGGGATCAACAGGCTGGGCACAGTGCTCACCTTGGTGTGGCGCTCAAAGGTGCCCACCTGACGTCCAATCACAGAGCCGTCCTCCTGGCCATCACGGAGTCTCTGTTCCAGGCGCATCTGGACAGAGTCTCGGGCATCCTTGTCTCCACCATCTGAAGAACCAGGGCCAGGTTTGCAGACGATCTCAGCAAAAGGGGCCAATCAGGAGTCTAGGCCTCTCACAAGGTTCATTTATATATCTTCTGTCCTGTTGCCTTGTTATTATCGCTCATTAGAATGGTAGTTCCCCAAGAGTAGGAACTATGGCTCTCCCGTCTCACACAGGAAACTATGTGCAGGAAGTAAAGAGCTGACCCATGAGAAAGAGTAAGAACCCAGGTCTTTGCCACTGCCCATGTCCATCACAAGCAAGTCATTTTTCACTCCAGATCAACTCAACTGGAGCCAGAGCTCCTGACCCTCCCAATCAACTGGGACCTGCCTGTCAAAACCAGAATCCCCTGACCGCTGTCTGCACAGATCCGCCCACTACCTGCACCAAGGGAACTCAGTGAGAGACATTTTAAGAGAGGAACACTCTCTGGGCTACTTCAGGGAACTGGTCCCGTCTCAGCCTCAGCTAAGCAGGTCTGGTAACGTGCCCCTGCCAGGGCAGGGGCCCAGTCCATTCCTCCTTACTGTACCTCTGTCGTAGTACACACTCATGTCCACATCCCAGTCATCAGCTGTCTGTTCATCAAAGTCTGCAAGGACACAAAAGCATCAAACAGTTAAGGACTCAGCCCTGTGGAAAGCCAGAGCTAGAGTTACACGTATGTTCTAGAACTTGGGGGGTTTTAATTTTATTCTGTGAGGAGAGCAGTTTCTCTTCACCTAACCTCCATCCCTAAAACAGAAATTGCTGTCTCATGTGCAAGCCACCACATGGAACCAAGAACCCCAAGTGAATGCAGGGGGACCAGTCACACCAGCATACCTCCTTCCTCCTCCTGCCAGAACTGGGCATCCGTGTAGAACACCAGGCCAGAGCCGCCCTTTTCCCACTTGAGTTCAATCTCCTCCTCAAAGAGCCGCTCAGTGGTGCGCTCCTGTCGGGTCACATCCTCGTGTAGCGCTTCATGCCGCTCCCATTCCTCACCCCGGTCGTCGTCCTGAGAGAAGGCGAGGTGGTGACCTGCCTGCCTAACTCCTGACCACGTACCCACATGGAGGCAGTACAGGGCCCACAAGGCGCTCTCCATCCCTTCACTGCTCCCCATCCCTTCACTGCTCCCCAACTTACCTAGCTCCTTCCTCCCGCAAACCTGATTCATCTCTGTGCTTCTGGTCACTTTCCCTCTGCCTGAACTACCTGCCCGCCTTTCTCACTTGAGTCTGTGGACTAAGCACTAACTTTCTTCTTCTCTTTGCTAAGTGTCCCTCATCCCTCAAGCTCTGCAGCCTAGCTGAAGGCCCCCCCCCCCCAGGCCCTTAACACTATCACTGGTCTCTCAATGTCACAGCACAGCTTACAGATAGTCACAAAGAAAAGGGGACAAGAACACTTAGCATCCAGTGTGTGGGCCTTTCTCATCATTTAGCTCCTCTGATTATCCAACAACCCTGTGCTGTACGCACCGTCACTCCCATTCTACAGATGAAGGAACCTGGGTTCAAAGGAGCCATCTTCCCAAGATAGACACCAAGGGCTAGCAGTGGCGGAGCCAGCATCCAAAACCAAGTCACTACACCATGCAGCCTTCTCCAGAGGCTGGTCCTCTCTTTTCGGGGAGAGGAGATTTTTTTAGCTCTGAGACAGAAGATGGGTCTCAGGTGGCTATAGAATCCCATGCAGCCTTGTTTTATAGGTGACTAGATGTGTGGAATGATAGGATGACTCTCAGTGTCAATCTCTGGATGTTCCTGGCCTAGTTAAACTCAGGGAGACCTTCGGAATCACTGCTACAGAGCAGGAGAAAAGTCCAGATGATACCACCCTCAGCATGTGGTCCAGATGGTGACAACCTGCCCTGGAAGCTTAGAGTTGCATTTTACCCAGAGGACACGAAGTTTTCCCAACCAATCACACCTCTTCTGATTGGATGGATGAACAAGTAGGTTTGGAGAGAGAAGTAGAAGAAATGTCCATTTTCATCGATAAAGTTAGTGCTTAGTCCACAGACTCAAGGTGACGCACAGATATGAGAAAACAAAGGCAACTCTTAGCCACATAATGAAAACTCAGGGCACACGAGCACCACAGGGGACTGGTCCCATCCAGGTTGCCTCTGCTTCCTTAGAAATCGTGGTCAGTAGTTTGTCATCTATGAAAAGGAGCCCTTCCCGTAATCCTTCTGAGACCCCTGTAAGAATCTTCTAGCCCTGCACCCCAGAGAAATGTGTATCTGCACGTGCAAATAGTTTTACATTCAGGGAATTGTCATATTCCTTGGAACCCTCCTGAGGACGTCAGGTTGAAGACCCTTATATTAGACAACTGAAAAGTGGAATTACTCAGGCCTGGCCTCTGCACCGCCAACAGAACAGGGTGCTTTATTGTACTCACCTCATCAGAGAGCCATGACTCTTCCTCCTCCTTTCCCTCTGTCTCCTCAGGCTCTCCACAGGGGCTGGCCGGTCTATCTGCCAGGCAGCTTCCCTGGGGTATTTCCTCGCCCTCGGCTGTGTACACGTGCTCCTCCTGCTCCACAGTCTCTGACTCCTCATACTTGAAGGGGACATTGCCATAGCGCCTGGAGGAGCCGGTCTTGGGAAACTGGAGCTGGAGCTGGGTGATGATCCGAGGGGGTAGGCGGCAGGCCCGAATTAATTCCAAAAAGACTCTTAAGGGAGTCCCCACATTCCCATTGGGCATCAGCACTGGTGGGTTCAGCTCTGGCAATTGCTTTAGGTCGGCCAGAGTGAAGGCTTCACTGTTGGCCTTCCGGCTCTGCAGTTCCTTCCGTGTCTTGAAGGGAAAGGAGCCCAAACCTTGGGACAGAGGGACAAGGATAGCTCTGAAACCTATAAGCCTTCAGCAACACTTCAGCCGGAGTATAAACACTTCAGTCAAGGTATAAATCCTTTAGCCTGATGGTGGCCCTCCCTTGCAAACTTCTCCAGAGTCCCGTCTTCCACTCCCTGATCAGAACCACCTAATATTTTCATGCCAATTCTCATAACTCCAGTAAGCACACAGCTTCTTTCAGATCTAGTTCTAGTTGACTTTTTTCTCTACTGCCACCAACATGTGCCCCACAAATACCACGACGTGTGCCCCACACATACCACCCTATCATGTGTTCAGACACAAATGGTGTAACATGCCTGAATGTTTCACAGGCTTGTATGTTTATCTTTGCAAGTTCCATTTGCTCGTTCCTACAAACTTCTGTTTATCTTTTAACACTTTCTGACCCCTCTAGGAAATCCAGTTCTCCCTCCTTTATTCTCTCACGGCACATGGTGATAAAGAGCCACAGGCTCTACAGCAAAATCTCCCTATTTTGTGGTGTTCTGCTAATAACTATCTCAGGGACTGTGGACATCCCTGCTTCCTCACCTATAAAATGAATAAATGATACTTCCTACCTTGTAGGATGGTTGTGAGGAGTCAATACGAAAACGAAAGGCTTACAATAGTGCCCCGTACACAGGAAGTGCACAGTAAATATTAGCCATGAGGGTGGCATCACTGACGTTTTAGGGTATGCTCCAGATGGATGTGTTCACAGGGCTTTATATTGCTGGTCTTCATTTCTAATCAAATAAATACACCAGCAGTTGTCGTTTAATGCAAGTTTTAAACTAAATTCTTTTTAAAAAAGATTTATTTATGCATACAAGAACTGGGGTATAGGCCAAAGTGCAAAGCATGGGGTGGGAGAAAGGAAGGATTCACCAGAGACAGAGTGGGGAGCAGCAGGGGAGGCAGAAGAGGTCTGATGTGCTGTGGGTTAACTCCCTGGCTGGCTGCCCCTGCACTACTAGGGAAGCCCTTAGAAACTTTCTTTTAAAGATTTGTTTTTTTATTCATACAAGAACTGGGGCATAGGCCAGAGATGTGGGGTGTGAGAGGATTCTCCAGAGACAGAATGGGGAGCAGAACAGGCTGACTGACTGAAATACACTGCTGAGGGGAACAGCAGGCAGGTCAGGAGAGGTCTGCCACACCATGTGGCTGGGAAACAAACTCCTGCTGCAGTTACTGAGGATCCCTTCATAGTGCTGAGCTTCCATCTGTTTTAAGAGAGGATCTGTCCCTTAAAAACTTTCTGAAGTAGAAGCAGAAATTGATCCACTTGCCATGTGTTCAGTATTTCTCCTGTTTTTTTTTTTTCCTTTTGATAATTATAAGCCTTGAGAATATTCATGGGAAAAAAAGCTTTATTTTCCATTGTGTATCCATAATTGAATGAAAAATTTTCAGGAAAAAATAGAATGGTATCTCTATGACAATTCTTTTTCAATTTTTTCTTCCTCTTAAGATTCTGAACAGATTGTATCCAGCTGTTCTCTGTATAAGAGCGAGTCACACTAGATCTATCAACATAGGCATTTGTTCAGTGAGTGAACTGGATGGCAATGCGCTGTTTCCTGTTATCTATCAAAGTGAGGTCTTGTGAAAATGGGAGGTACCCTGAGAGAAGACAAGTCACTTCACTGCCAAAAGAGGGGCTGGGTAGTGTACAGGAAGAGTGCGATGAAAGAAAAGACAAAAAGAAGATAAGAAATATGACGCTTTTTTCTTCTGTGTGTCGGTAAAATGAACCCCTCAGATAAGGAAATGGAACTCCAAGTCTTAACAAATAGAAAAATGCAGGATCATTCGAACAGGTTAGTTTGGCTTTTTGTTTTTTTTTCCCCAGGTTTTTCACCCCGACGTTAAACTAACGTGCAGTTTTGCCTGATGCTCCCTGTCCAGGAGTTAAACGTAACCGTCTACAAAGCCGTAGTCAGATACCTGACTAATCCGCACCACCCCTAAGGAAAGTTTCCTTTGTGTCGGGGCCGTACGTCAATCTATTATTTTTCCCATTCGTACCTGATACCTCAGTCGGTAGCCGAAGTCTGCGGATGAAACAGCGTCCTGGCATCCAAATCCCCTGAGGATCCAGCCACCGGCGGCCCGAATACATACGCAGAAACTTCTGGGCTTGCGCCGCCCCGCGTACCGAGATGACGCAGCAACAAGTGCGGGTCTGGGCAGGAGCCGAATCCCGAGTGGAAAGAGCAGGAGTGTCGGTTCCTGAGGTTTGGCCAAGAACCTGGCCGACAGGGGTTATGGGTGTGTGGGGAGGAGCTCGCTCAGGCCGGTGCCGGTAGTGGAAACAGAGGAAGCCACAGTCGCGCTGTTCCCGGAACTGACTAAAGTAGCTCCGCAGCTGAGCCGAGCGCAATCCCGAGGGGATGCCACTGACTATTAAATAAACCGCCGCTCCTTCCTCCGCCTCGCTGGGCGCCGCCATGATGGGTAGTCACATGATCGACTGGAACCCAAATCTCGCGAGAATGTCGCAAGCGCGCTCGGAATGTTTGCGTCTGGGAGGGGAGGGGATGGGACCGCCTGGTTTGTGGGTGTAGGGCTTAGAGCTGGGGAGGTGGGGCAAGTCGTACCGCTCCTTTTCCAAAGAAGGCGGCGGACCATGATGACCAGAGAAATGGGGTGACAGAACATTTTTGAGGCCCTAATAAGGACCAAATTAGAAGCTTGCTGGGAAGACACATTTTAAGAATTTTAGTTGTTGGGCTCTCATAAATCTAATTCAAGTGTTTCTAGTTGAATTATCCATTTACTCCTCCAAAACGTATTGGTGAACTACAAAAATCACTAAGAAAAAGACGGCGTTAGTAAATCGTCTGACAGAACGAGGATTCCTGGCACTACGTGAAGCTGTGCTGCACAGCGTGGTTGGGACTCTTTCCAGGGAGAGAACATACAGGGCAAATTTCTCATCAAAAACTTAAACCCAGAGGTAGCTGAGGCTAGATTTTCATTCTCGGGTGGAAAGGAGTTTAGATGCTGTTGTTTATCCTCCAGGTGATCATCTCTTTTTGATTAACCATCATCGTGGTCTTTAAAGACATAATAGAGCAAAGTATTTAAGAGCAGAGGCCGAGTCCAGACCTCCTGACTCAAATCTTTACTATGTAATTTTTTAAAGATTTATTTATTTATGTATACAAGAATGGGGGTGGGGTTGGGGGAGTGAGAAGATTCATCAGAGACAGAGTAGGGAACAGAACAGGCAGATTGACTGAAAACACACTGCTGAGCAGTGGGAGCAGTGAGTGAGATGGGAGAGGTCTGCTGCACCATGTGGGTCACCTTCCTGGCTGGGGATTGAACTCATGCTACAGAGTGCTGTGCTTTAACTCCTTGAGCCACCAGAGAGGCCCCTCTGCTATGTATTAACTCTGTAACCTTGAGCAAGTTACTTAACCTTTTTGTGCCTTGGTTTCTTGTATAAAATGAAGATAAGGATAGTATCTACAGTGAAGTTATTGGGAGAATGATATAAACATAATCCATAAGGTGTTTAGTATCTTCCCGGACTGACCCGTCCGGGAATAGAAGTCCCCTTTGTTAATCTTGATTCCTGAGGCCTTTGCCTGTGGTCTCCATCACTTTCATGGCAGATGTGTTTCTGCCGCCTTTTTCTGCGACACTGACCCTGTCAAATTCTGCAGGTACATCTCTTGCTGCCCTGAGCTCCAGTTGCCCCAAAGCACTTGCAGTCGGCTGAGCACCCTTGTTCTCTGGTACCTGTGTCTTCACCCCTATCACCCCTTATGTCTGGAATGCCTGACTTGCATGGCAAACTGCTATTCTCAAAGCAGCTACCACTTGGGTATAGTATTTTCCCATCTCCAGGCAAGTTTAATAACTCTCTTTAGCCTCTGCGGTACATCCCTCTGTCTCTGCTCAGGCCATGCTTATTATAACCAACCATATGTCTCTTTCTGCCTTAGAGAGGGTGTTTGCTGAATGCAGAGACCATAATGTTTTATTCTGTGCCCCATATCTGTGACCTGGTACCCAATACAGGTTCTGGTACAAATGGATGGAAGGATCTTCACTACTTTTGCAGCATCACAGGTGTTAGGATATGTGACTGCCCCAAGGACAGGGTGTGTCTGCACACAAATCAGTGGCCTGACTGCTTAATAAGCAATGAATTAGCTAATGAGAGTAGAGATGATGATAATAAAATGGTACCTGAGGCTGATCCAGAGCCACAACCATGCTCCTGCTTTCCTGAGTCATCTCTTGCTGGGCCTGAGGACAAGGGTCATGGCTGAGAGGGTAAATGGTTGGTATTAGTGACAGAGCTGGCCCCAGACATCCTGATCCTGGTTGAGGCTCACTCCAGCTTGGAGAACTCTGCCACCACAGTCATGCAGACCTGAGTTCAAGTTCCCTGGGCAGGCCAGAGACTATTTCCTCTCCCTCTCAGAGACACAGGTTCCACTCCTAAGACTTTGGTAGTGGATAGTCAAACTTACACCTTAGGGAAGACTGCATGAAGAAAGCACGGTTGCCTTTACAACATTGAACCATATTTTCTCCTTAGTTTTGTTCTATTTGTCTTTATGTTCTCTGCAGAGGCTTAGAGGTAAGGCACTGGGAATGACCCATGAGAAGCAGCCAGAAATGTCACTCCCAACCATGTGGAGAAGGGGAGAGATCTGCAAAGGACAAGGTAGGCTGATAAGAGCTGTTTGGATGCTAAGTTGAGGGGGAAAGGCTGGAGTGGGAGTGGAGAGGCACTTTCTAAGGGCTCTTTGGTGTTGGGGAAGGGCATGAAGGATTAGAAGACTCAGCCTGGTGTTCAGGGAGGTGCAGCAGCTAACGACTGGGGGAGAGAGTGAAAGGACATAAAAGGTAGAATGAGGGCCCTCCTTGGTGGCACAGCGGGTTAAACTGCAGCTGGCCTCAGCCGCTTCAGCGCGAGTTCGATGCCCAGCCAGGGAGCTGACCCACATGGCACAGCAGACCTCTGGGCTGCGTGGGGCAGGACGGAGGCGTTCTGTGGTTTGTGTGCACCTTACAGAGTGGTGCACCTTACTGGGTGGGAGAGCAAGCTGCAGACCCAACATGTGCCTGTCTATTCTGGGCCTGAGCTGTGTGCTTCTGTCTCATCCTGGGTATCTGAGTGGTGAGCAGATAAGGGACAAGGGTGCCGTGCTGCTGGCACTGGGTGCCCACAATGGACCCATGGCTAGAACAACTGTGGTCCTGATCCTGGGGACCTCGGGAGCTACCTGAATGGTGACTCTGGTTTGTTGTCCCTGAGTGAATGACCTCTCCTAAGCAATAATTAACTTGACCCCCATGAGAACAATCCAAACTGTGGTGGTGAAAGGGGGTGGGGCCTGGTCGGGCCAGACCTTATTGCTGGAGAAAGGAGGAGGCCTAAGGGGTCCTATGGGCATGTGTGTTGCTATCATTCCCTCCTGCCCACCTTGCGGTCACTCACCCTGACCTGGGTGAGACACAGACAATTTAACAAACAGTGGGGCACAGATCTCGACCAGTGCAAACACAAGCTGGCCAGTGAATGGTGCAGCCCCAGAGGCCACCACTAGGCCTCGTATGGCCTCTGGAGCTCCAGGAACAGCAGAAAGGAACGCCGCAGGGCTCAGGGGGTAGCTGGGAACAACTGTCAAGGACATGTTTCAGATTCTAACAGTTGGGCGGCAGCTGCACCAGGGCCTGGCCCTGGCCTCCAAGCAGTGGCCGGGCCAGCCCTGGGTGCCCTTGCCCCAGCCATTGGGAAAACAACTCTGTTCTTTTGTTGGCTGCAGTCCTGGGAGAAGTGAAAGAAATTGCTGAAATTCCAGTGACCTTGTCTCTTCCAGTTTGGGCACCCGCTGCTTGGTTTTCCTTGTTGGCTGTGATCCCACTCATGGAGTAGAAAGGGGTGCTATGGGGCAGCAGTCAAGGGCAGGGGCCGTGGGGGGTTGGGGGCAGGTAGAGAAACCCCTTGTCTCCAAAGATAAAGGCAATAAAGATAAAGGGGTTAAGTTCAGCACTATGAAGCTCTCCACAGCCACTGCAGCTCGAGTTCGATCCCCGGCCAGGGAGCTGACCCATGCAGCACAGCAGCCCTCTCCTGACCCGCCCGCTGCTCCCCTCAGCAGTGTGTTTCATTACATGTGCCTGTTCTGTTCCCCACTCTGTCTCCGGTGAATCCTTTCACCCTCCACACCCCTGGCCTGCACCCCAGTTCTTGTGTGCATAAATAAATTAAATCTTTTTAAAAAGATAAAGTAAACGTTGTTATAAAATGAACAATAATGTTAAATATTTTTTTAAAAGATAAAAGCAAGGAGACAAGGCATTCCTGAGCTGAGACTACTCTTGGATTCAGACCCGGGCCAAAGAAATCTCTTCTCCAGAACTGAAATCACCATTTCACTGGAAAATTAACTTCCCAGTGTCCTGAAGGCTGACTTCCCACACCTTATGGTCTCTTGCTCTGGGGTTCCCTCTCTGCTTGGCCAGGGTGACCCCAGAGGAGAGACGGTCTTTTCCACAGGCACACACCACAGAGTCAGGCTCTGAAGGTATTATACCTTTTATTACAAAACCCAATAACTTAAGTCAGTCTGTGCAAAGTCAGTAGGACTCCTGGCCCCATGAACACTCCCAGCATCCATTCCTGTTCCAGGAGAGCAGGAGACTTGGCCTAGAGGTTCTGGAGGCATCAGAGGCTAGCCAGACAGGTGTGGTTGAGGGCAAGCCCCCGACCGTGCCTTCTCCTGGGCAGCTGTGTACTGTCTGAACAGACTGGCCTCCTCGGGAGTGTAGGGCCATCCTGGGGGGACAGCCAGGCTGGATCAGCACCGCCAACTTTGGTCCAACTTATGCCGGGTCTCTGCTTGGGCGCACTTGTCCAAGCCAAAGCATGTCCTCGAGGAGACTGCCGATGTCAGTGTCCCCAGTGACAGGGCGAAAAAAGAGATCCACCAGCAGGCCAGGCTGGATGGACTTGAGGGTGGAAGTCACGAGAAGGACATTCGCCAAGCGGCTTTGGCCTGCTGGGCACCAGGGCTCCAGGACCTCACATAGCACCTGCTGAGCCTCCTGCTGCAGGTGCCGGATGTGGGAGGAGACGTGAAGGCCTGGCACATCTGTGGGCAAGAGGTGAAGAGGGCAGGTGAGCACCCCACTCCCAGACACCATAGATGAACCTGGCCTAACACCCAAGGCTGCTGCTCAGCCTCTGAGACGCACCTCCTCTGCTTGCCTGTCATTTTACTCATCTACCCATTTATGGGGAAGCAGTGTGGAGTGGTGGTAAAAGCCAGGCTGGTTTGACTCCCAGGCTGTTACTTACTAGCTGCATGGCTTGGACAGATTACTTGGGCTCTGTGCCTCAGTGTCCTTTTCTGTAAAATGGGGGTGCTAATAGTACCTACCAGAAGAGCAATAGCAGTACCACTTAAAATAGTAGTAGTAATACCATAAAAAATGCCACTTAAAATAATAATGCCAGGCTTGTTCTGAGTTTTAGATGAAGTAGAATATATAAAACCTTAAGCACTGGACTAACATATGGTAAGTATGAGTATTCATTTGTTATTATAATGAATTAGTGTAACTGACACATTCCATGAGCACCTTTTGGCAGGGAATCTCATCTCAGATGCTCTCGGGATTATAAAGCACACCATTTCCATCTGTTGGTCTCCTGGCTGAGTTTCACAAAGACTTCTCGCACCGCCTCTGCCATATCGTCTTGATTTCACTCCTCTTCTCTAGGGTGCTTTCTGAACCTATAGTGTGTTACTTGGGACTGAGGTACAGCTGCATCTGCTCTCCTCCCCTCCCCCACTCCCACTTTCCCTGAGGTTAGAGCACAGTTCATGGGCAGAGAGAGTGTCAAGGGTCAGTCTCTGGTGTGACCTGATCTGAGTTCCCATTCCTGCCTGTCGCTACCTGACTGTGCGACTTTCAACAAGTCTCTTAGCCTCTCTGAGTCTCTTTCATGAGATTGATTATTTGATAATAGGACTTAATAACCCTGGTGGCACAATGAGTTAAAGTGCACTGTAAAGCTGGCTGCAGCCATTTCGGCACCAGTTCCATCCCCGGCCAGGGAGGTAACCAACATGGCATAGCAGACTTCTGCTGTCTCGCCTGCTGCTCCCCTCAGCAGTGTACTTCGTCAGTTAGCCTGTTCTGCTCCCCACTCTGTCTGGTGAATCCTCTCACCGCCTGCCCCTGCATCTCTGGCCTGTACCCAGTTCTGTAGGCTAAATAAAAAAAAAAAATTTTTTTTTTTAAAGATAACTTAGAAAGTGCCTTCCCCAGCTGGGCCCTGCCTCCCTCCAGCCTTGGCGCCCTCCAGTTGCTCACCAGGATTGAAGAGGATAGTTTCTCTTAGGTGGGCGTATTCCTTGGGGCTGAGTCCGAGGCTCCAGAAGGACTCCAGGCAGCACTGAAGCCACCGCACCGCAGCCAGCGAGGGCTGGGGCTGACCTTGCGGCCTGGCTCCGCCCGCACTGCTGTTGGGCTTCTCCAGCAGGATCTTTTTGAGTATGCTGGGAACCGGCGCCTCAGCCACCTCGAAGGTCACGGTGTCTTGAGCCAACCCAAGCAGGAAGAGGGGGCTCCAGCAGCCTCGCAGCAGCCGCTGTTGATCCTGGGCAGGCAGCTGGCAGAAGGACGGCAGGTTCCTGAGGAAGACTACCATCTTGGTCAGCACATCCAAGGCTTCCCGGCAGGTGCGATGCGGAGTGCATAGCTGGACGGGCCGGTGCTGCTTGCACAGGCAGTGGCTTCGGGCTGGGGGCGCAGGAGGCCTGGCCCTGAGGCTGGGGCTCAGAAGGGCATATAGGATGGCTGGGCCACCTGAAGCGCCCCGGCATGGGCAGGCTTCTGGCGGGTCGGAGCTCATGACCGAGTATCTGCTCCTCCTTCCTCCTAGCTCTTGCTCTCTGGCCCTCAGCTCTGCGCTGTGGGTGCTATTTATATCCCCGATTGGGGGTGGGGGAACTCGAACAACCTTGACTCTAGAAGTCATGTTCATTGAAAAAAAAAAAAGAAAGAAACACACACTGACCCTGGCAGGACTAAAAGGGAAGTGGGGGGAAGGGGCCTTGGGAGCTCCACGTGGCTCTGATAGCGCTTCAGTCAATGAAGTAAGTCAGTGCAGGGCACAGGCCACCTACCTGCTGGCCTGGTTACCCCTTATCGGATGACTCAAGAGGATAAACAGGGTCATTAACCCAGGCTGTACCAGGGCACCAAGGCCTCAGGTGTGTAATCAGCAGGCGGTCGTGGCAGGTGTCCTTATTGGTGCTGCTTGCGCGTGCACAGGAGAGGCTCCCAGCTCCAGAGCGGAATGAGCCTTGAATGCAGGACCCAACCTGGAAGTGCCTTATCACTGGCTTGTTTGCCTAACCTTGGGGCCCTGCTCCTGTAGTAGGTAAGGAACAGGCTGCAGGGAAGGGAGCCAGGACCCTGAGAAGCTGGGAGGACTTTGCCACCCCTCTGAGAAGTCTCCTTTCTGGAGAGTCCTGAAGAAATATATTTAAGAACTCTCTCCCTAGCCTAGAGCTCCTTCCTGACAGACCATAGCTGTTGAGAACCCCTCACAGAATGATGGCAAAATAAGGCTGTTGTTTATTGAGCACCTACTATGTCCCAGGCACTTACTCTGATGTTCAGAGCTCCCTATGAAACAAGGTTCTTTTGAGAGTCAAAGAAGTGAATTTGCCCAAGGTCATATCACTAAGAAGAGTGAACCCATAACAGCCTGCACTCACCAGCCTGATTTTGGAGCTGAATTTCCCAGAGCTGGTAGCTACTGGGCCCCACCTTGCTGCAGCCTGCAGATGTTGCCCTCTTATGATCTGCGCATAAAGCTTGTTCCACCAGCAGCCACATTGCTCCTCGGTCCCAGGCTGTCCCAGACCATGGGGCTGGGTTGTGAGCACAGGTTGGAAGGCCCTGGCTCTGCCATGCCCCTCAGCCAGACCAGCTAGCACCCTCTTGGGCAGCCATCACCATCCCTGGCATCTGCTTCTGGCTCCATCACTCTCCAGTTGATCCCCAAACTCTGTGGGCCCCAGGAAGTTCATTTGGGACAATAATGCCTACCCAAATGACTGCTGTGAGGACAAAGTAAGGTCCTGGCTATCCAATTTCAAGCCTTTCCTGGCACATAACAGGGGGATCTTGCTCCCTTCTTCCTTCTACCTAAGGAAATAAGCCCCAGCAGATGAACAGGCACCCACCTTTCATTTAATTATGAATCGTTTGAATTTTGCCACTTAGAAAGTTTGTTTCAGGGCCCTCCCTGATGGGGCAATGGGCTAAAGCACAGCACTATGAAGCTAGCCGCAGCCACTGCAGCACGAGTTCCATCCTGGCTAGAGAGATGACCCACATGGTGCGACAGATCTCTCTTGACCCACCTGCTGCTCTGCTCAGCAGTGTACTTCAGTACATCTGCCTGTTCTGCTCCCCACTCTGTCTCTGGTGAATCCTCTCAC